TAGACTCCCTCAAGAGTTGGTTCTGGCCAGCTCAGTGGATTGCTTAAAAAAAAAAAAAGGCCTGGATTCTTTCTTAGATACACATAATATAACTGGATACTAACATTTATAGGTAAAGTTGATCCAGGGAATATCCCATTGCCTCTCTGGGGATCAGGAAGGAATTTTTTTTTCCAGCAGGAGCAAATTGGATCATGCTTTGCTGTTTTTTTTTGCCTTCTTCTGGATCAACTGTGGGTATAGGATCATAACTTTTTTTTTTTTTTTTTAATGGTTGAACTGGATGGACTTTGTCTTTTTTTTAGCCAGACTATGTAACTATGTAACAGTTTGATGGGATATTGTGTATCCCTTACATAGACGCTTACTGAAATATGAAAAAATCAGATTTTTAATTTTAATACATTTGTATGTTTGTGATTTGCCTTATTTAAAATCCCATGGGAGAACAAATAATGCTGTGTACATGTTAAGAACAATGTTTAGAAGTTGTAAAGTTTTTCTTTGGTGAAGCCCTTGATGAACTGTATCATCATTGGATGTAGGGCTCAAGAAGTAGCTGGAGATATTGATAAGGCTGTAACTATGTAACACCAAAGCACTTGAAACTGATTAACAACCTCCTCTGCTACTTAACTGACCAGATCAATATCCCAGGAGTTTAACTGACTTAATGCTATACTCTGATTAAAAAGTGTTCCTTTAATTTTTTTGAGCAGTGTAGAAGGGAATAAGCAATGTAAGCCTCTGGATTTCTTTCAGAAAAGCTTAAAGTAGAACAATAGGCAAAACTTTTTTTTTTCATTTTGAATAGTGCAAGGGTGGGTTATAACTAGGGTTGCCACCTCATCCCTTAAAAACCGAACACATATTAATTACACAGGTTCTGTGGCAGATTAGGGTGGTCATTAAACTAGGAAGCAGCTTGAAGGTAGGCATCTTAGATACCTGGTACATCCAGCTCTGTGCCAGAAAAGATGGAATCACCAATTTGTAAGATGAAAACTGAAGCCACCTGCGGACGAAAGGTGCTCAAGGGGCAAAGGCCCCAACTTGTTCAGAAGAAAGATGTAGGACTCTGTAGCTTGAAGCGCTTGCAGGTCCAAAACTCTGCCCCCTGAAGTTATCGAGGGACACTGCTTCTCGAGTGATGTCCTACTGAAGACTCCTTTCTATAGGTGTGAAGAGATCTGGCAGAGAAATCCAGTGCCAGAAAAAAATCCCACACTACCGGTCAGACGCATTGGCGCCATACACCTAGTCCTGCAGGGGACACGGATATACACACTCGGGCTGGGCGTTCATCAATCTGCACGTGTACCGGGATGGAGCGGAGCCCATTTGTCCATAGTCCCGATGTTGGTGGCTGCCTCCGGGACTCTGGGCCTGAATCCAATAACAAGAGAGATTATGCATCATTCTAGTATTTACCTAAATGTCTAATATGTGCATTCTTTGCAATAAAGCATACTTTTTAGAAATTTTTGGGTATCGCTTTCTGTCCATGATGTAACCACTTTTCTTGTGAATTCCTTTTCACACCTCCCTTTTTTTAGCATGAGAGGCACCTTGTGAAAGGATGGTGATGCAAACAGTATCAACTGAGGGAGGCCCCATACTTGAGTAATATGAGCAAGAACGTTTTGATTAAAGACCCATTCATTGGGAACCAAAAACACCTGGCGCCACAGCCCCTTTTGGCATTCTGGGCACCTGCAGCCTCTGAAGATTACATTCGGTTATGGACCTCCACTGGAACCTGCTGTTGAGTTTTTTTTATTTCTAAACGCATGACACTGCTGCTGTGTTACCATCATGCAGAATAACCAGTCAAGCCTGAATGCGAGGTGACAGTGCACATAGTAACTGCAGGTGGCGATCTGCCTTGTAGCACAGGTATCAAAGGTGGCAATAGTCCGAGATAATGAACCTACCATATGGGATCGAGTGATCCCCTGTCACACTCATAATCAGAGACTTCTGCATATCTGAGGAGAAGAACTTTGAATCAGATCAAGTGCCGAATTCTGTATTGCAAAAAGGAAATTCTTTGGAACATGCAGAGAATCCAGTGCACCCAGGGTAGCATAGGGATGCAAGACATCATCATTTCCAGGAGACCCCTGAATTGGAAAGCTTGACAAAACTGACAGAGATACCATTTTTCGAAGATGCTCCTTGGGCTATTTTGAGAAGGAGCAGAAAAGTACTCACTCGAGCATTGAACCGGGTTTCCGTATTAATGCCTACAGTTGCAAGAAAAAGTATGTGAACCCCTTGGGATTACGTGGAGTTTTGCATGAATTGGGCATAAAATGTGCTCTGAACGTCATCTAAGTCACAACAATAGAAGAACACAGTCTACTGAACATAATACTACACACAACATTAGAGGTTGCCATGGTTTAATTGCACATAACATGTAAACATTCACAGTGCAGGGAGGAAAAAGTATGTGAGGCCCTAGCCTAATGACTTCTCCCAGAGCTAATTGGAGCCAGGAGTGAGCAAACCTTGACTCCAATCAGTGTGATGATATTGGATGTGTTGCTGACAGCTGTCCTGCTCTTAAAAAAACACACACCTGTTTTGCGTTTACTGGTTTCAAGAAGCACTGTCTGATGTGAACCATGCCTCGCAGAAAAGAGCTCTCAGAAGACCTACGATCAAGAATTGTTGACTTGCATGAAGCTGGAAAGGGTTACAAAATTATCTCCAAAAGCCTTGATGTTCATGTGTCCACGGTAAGACAGACTGTCTACAAATGGAGAAAGTTTAGCACTGTTGCTACTCTCCCTAGGTGTGGTCGTCCTGTAAAAATGACTGCAAGAGCACAGCGCAGAATGCTGCATGAGGTAAAGAAGAATCCCAGAGTGTCAACTAAAGGCTACCTCTCTTTTACCTCACATGGGTTTTGTTCCTGCTTTTTGTTTGTATATGGTTTTGCATAATTTTTATAGTTTTAAATTTGGTGTGGCTTTTCATCAATTTGTTTATTTGTGTCACTTGACATATTTTTAAAGGGACAGCAGTGCAACTAATTTTTTTAATTCAGTTTGTATTTGTTGTATTCTGGCAAGTATTGAGTGCAACAGCCCAAACGTCTTTATCAACACTAAGCATAGTTTTTTTGGTTATAGTTTTAACCAATTGGGTTTGGCATTTAATTTTATAGTAAGCTTTTTCTGTCCACTAAATAATACTTGCAACTCATGAATAAAACAAAAATGTGCTTGCTCAATGCTGCTCGGGCCTGTATTCCGGCTCTCTGGAAACAGGAGGCTCCCCCTTCTATTAATATGTGGTTATCCAGGGTAGAGGACATTCACTCAATGGAAAGTATCATGGCGGCGGTCCGGAGTCAGGAGGCCCAGTTTTGCCAAAAATGGATTCATTGGTCTCTCTTTACTTGCTCAAGTGATTATGCTGCCTTGCTGCGATCAGTGGCTTGAAGTCCCTTCGTTGTTCTCCTTTTACACCTCTCTTCTTCCTTCTTTTCATCCCCCCCCCCTTTTTTTTTCTCTCTCTCTCCTTACCTTTTCTTTTTCCCTGTCTTGGATGCTACTGCTGTTTGTTTATGACAATAGACTGATTTGTTTGTACTGACTTTCGGACCAGTGTGCTATACTTTGCTGTTTTTGAAAAACTGATAATTTGAATCTCTATGTAATTGTACCGCACCTGGTTAGTTGTCTTATCTGCTGGCATCCACTCATGCGCCTTATTTTTGTATACGTTTGTACTCTAAAAAAGCTCTTTAAATAAAGAATGTTCAAAAAAACAAAAAAATGTGAGCAAAAACAGACAGTTCTAACCATCAAAATTCCTAATGGCAATACATGAAAAAATGCACTTTAGCAGCCATGTTTTGAACAAAGGCTCTTTATTTGGACCACAAACTTGCATGTTAGGCTGGCCATGCATTATACAATTTTCCTTTAGATTTACCAAAACCAAATAATATGAGGTAGGACCTTGCACTACATAGTTTTAGATTGAAAGGAAATTGAATAAGCAAACTCTATAATGTATGGCCAGCTTTACTCAGCAAAAACATTCATATTCAACAGTCCAATTTTTTAAAGTATTTGTGAACACACTGCATTAAAGGGCCATCCTAATTCAGTAAACAGGAATATATGGCTCAAAACACCTTGATTTTCTTAAAGAATATTTTTTGACCTTTTTTTTAAAAAATCTTTTATTTGGCTGTCACTTGACCACATAGGTCCATCTTAAACACAGCAGGGAGCAGGCTTAATTACTCATTCACAGTGCAGAAGCTCCCAGTCTGTGGCTTACATCAGACAGCAGGCAGGTGGTGGGTGAAATTATGTCACACAGCAGGATGACGGGTGGGTGGGATTACTGACACAGCAGACAGGCAACCTAATATAACACACAGTGGGCAAGTAACTTCCCCATCTGCATGTGCTGTGTTCCAAAACCAGCTGTAGCTTTGACTGTGGCCCCCAGCTGTTACTTCCCCACCCTGTATGTGTGAGATGTAATTACACCTACCCGCCAGCTTGCTGTGACATAATCCCATCTACTACCAACACGCTATTCACCCACTGCGTGATGCAAATCACCAATGAGGAAACATCTTCATTGTGTGCGAACACCCTTAGTACACCAAGAACAGCTGGGAGGGGGCGCTGCCACACAACTAACCACAGGAGATACAGGCACAATGTGTGTTGGCACAGCATCCTGACACTCCCAGTAGAGATCACAGGGGTACAAAATGACCAAGACAGCACAGATCTGCCTTCTGCACATGTTGTGGTCAGTTTGAAACAGGGACCAGTAGAACTGGGAGGATCACCAGGTTTTTATTATAGTAGTAGGGTAAATTAAAACCTTTGGGGCTAGATTTTAAAATAAAACCTATATGTATACACAAACACATATATATTTGTTCTTATTTTGTAGGGTAACATTCTTTAACTTTAGAAAGGCTATGAAATCTTCCATTATAAAACACAAACATGAAACTTCTAATTCCCTAGATGTTTTGTGTGTCTTCCTTGTGCAATTATTTTCCCAGTATCTTTATTTTACTAAATCCACAGTTGCAAAGGCCAAGGTTTTTCCTTGCTTCAAAATCTGTGCCGTGATGAGTAGAGAGTCCCCAATTTTAGCAGCATTCATATACCTTAAAAACAAAAATAGAAGAGTCTCATTAGCTGTAGATACATCAACATTGTACATGAATGTAGTATGACCATTACAAGTAATTGGTAAGTATAGAACTGATGTTATGAATAATTCGGCATTAGGTAACTCAGACATTTGACTTCTAGACTTAGCTAGTAAAAAATGACAACTCTAGACACAGCCAAAAAGGAAATATATAATTTTCATGAAAAAGCTGGAAATATGTAAAAATATATATGGTGGTAAAATTGTTATGTAATGACTCCCACTTCATAACTGGACAACTAGAACAATATGAATACTGTAGCTTCCTAATAGGGAGATGAAGGAGAATGTGACTTTCAGCACCTCCATAATGTTTTCTTCTGCTGAGTCTGAAGAGCATAAGCTTCCTGTATGCACAGCACCATGTTGTGGCTGAAACATATATTTACATCTTTACATCTGTAAGGAACAAGTAAGGCATCTTTTGCTGAGACCCAGAGATACCTGCCTGTTCTTTGACGTTAAAGTGTTATTAACCCAGGACCCTGCATTCACTATATCTGGTCTCCCACAGTACACAGAACATGCAAATGAAATTATTTTAGTAAATATAAACTGCTAAATACCTTTTCTCATCAGTAGTATATAGCAGTCTTGTGACTTCTATCACTATCCGGCCAAGCACTGGTTAATCTTGTAGGAGGAGTTTTCATTCTCCTCTGACTGTCCTATGAGGCTGCATGACACCTGACTCTGTCTGAACAGTCCTGATTGGCCCTGTGCTGATCACATGCATCCTCCCAAAGAGAGAAAAAAAAAAAAAAAAAGACCTTCCTAGCAATACACACTAAACTGAGCATGTGCAGAGTCACTCCTAGAGCTTTGTACTATCAGAATGATGGATTGGGAACCGTGGAAGAAGGGAAGGATCAGAGAAGACAGGATCAAAACAGCCTTTTTACACAATGCGGAGGATTAACCCCTTAGGTTTCGCAGTGAGTATAACAAGCATGCTTTACTGCATATACAGACTGATTTTACTGTTGTGGGTTTAGTAACACTTTAAGTTTCAGTCTGCACTTTTTGGGCAGCCCAAAAGTTCTCTTTGAAAATAATCTGTACTCACTAAAGCTAATGTAAGCTGTCATAAGCAAGTGACGTGCACCCAATGATGTCTGCGCATATCTTGTGTTATTTTCATCAGTACCCCAGAAATCCCTAGATCTGAGACATGCAAATATCAACTTTTTAGTTGGCATTTGGCCCCATCCTCTTCCACAGTTATCTGTTGGGACATCAATGTTATGGGCTTCAACACACAGACCAAATCACCTCAGGAGGTTGGATTAAGCTCCAAGTTCAGTTAATAGGTTGCTAACCGCATATAAGAACAAATAATTTTCTTTGTACCTGTACTAACAGGCCAATACCAGTTCATGCTGAAAGGTGGTGAGTGCAGGTACCCTCCAAGGTGATAATTGCTAGATAATGGTCAGTTCAGGAAACATACCATTTCTCAGTGTTTTTACTTGTCAAGATGCACCCCAAGGAATGAAAAAAAAAAAAAAAAAAGCAAACGCCTAGAACGGAGTTTCCTTGTTGATCTGTACTCTTCCTCTGAAAGAAAAAACTGGTGCCATACCATGCACTTATCCAAGTTAAATGTGCATGTTTATGTAGCAATCTTTATTTAGGATTATCTCCCACTTTCTCATGTCTGTGAGTACTTACAAAGCAGGGCAGTGTGAACATCAATGAACGGGATATTACTTTATTACTGCAAACTGAATCATGTTAGGAATTTCTGTTAGCCTGGCACCTTTAGGGATTATTGAAGATCACACATTTTCTAGTTTCTGTTTTGATAGTTTTTTATTGGTTTTAGCAAAAGAATATTTTGGCCGACCATAAAAGGTTACAAGTGGGTTACAAGAAACAACAAACAGTCTGAGGTAAACATAAATTATTTACGCAAATGACAAAAGTAGGTCCCATGTGAGACTTGGGTACATCAAGTACTCTTCTGTTGCGATCTTCCAAAAAAAAAAAGGAAGGATTTTTTTGCCAAAACAGGTGATATAATCAACTACGGCCTGTGTGGCCCCGTGGATTCCCACCAACCCCTGACCCCCATAGTAGGAGGGAGGGAAGTCCCACAGGGCCATTAGTTACCTTAGTCTCCAATCAGCAGAATAAAGAAAGTCATTTTCTTGTTCAATTAGATTTTTTAACCACAGAGCGGTTGTCCAGTCCTGGGATCATATGATATCCTCCCTCATAGGCAGTTTACCCAGGGGAGTATTGGACTGTCAGCTTCACTTTCGTTTTATTATGTATTCTGTGGCGCTTATTATAATTCCTAATAGATATCCAACTTGTCAAACCTTAAATTTGCGTGCACTTGTGAAATGGTGACGAACTTCAGTAGCCTATATTTTCTATAGGTGAACTTTTAAAACCCCCTCTAGGTCATCAGTATAGTGTTACGGAGGAGATCTGGTGCTAGAATTATTGCTCTCAGTCAATGTTTTCATGCGTAGGCACCCTGCGCGTGCTTTTACATTTGTACGTGCGTATGTGGGGGGGGGGGGGGGCTCAATTTATTTTTTTTTGGGGGGGGGGGGGATGTTATATGCTTGGGTGCAACTTTCATTTTTTTATAATTAAACATCAATTGTTATTTTTTTTTTTTTTTTTTTTACTTGTGATGATTTTTTGGTGACAGGTTCTATTTATTGAGGCATCCAAGGTCTGAAAGACCCTGGATGTCTCCCCTCTGCTCCACTGAATGTAATGCAGTGCACATCACACTGCATTACATTCATTCCTGACCTCATTTGCTGGGAATCTCTCATCATAACGTCACTTCTGGGTCAGGACAAGAAGGGGAGGCTGGCACTGTGTGGAAGTATTGCAGTATCACCATTCCACGATCGTGCAGAATTTTAAAGTGTGACATGTTATTTATATGGCGTAACATCATCTTTTATATTTTACCAAACATTTGTGTATTATATTGTGTTTTTGTCCATCAAAATTCATTAACGTGTATTTTTTATTTAAAAAAAACGGCAACTGAAAAACTGCTGCGCAAATACCATGTGACATAAAAAAATTGCAACACCCACAATTTTATTCTCTTGGGGCCTCTGCTTAAAAAATATGAAAAGTTTGGGGGTTCCAAGTAATTTTCTAGCAAGATAAAAGAGCTGATTTTTACATTTATGTGAGAGATGTCAGAATAGAAAGTAAGTGGTTAAAAAAAATTAAATAAAATTGGAACCTTTACAATCACTTTAAAAATACAAAAATGCATACATACGTAATATTCATGTCCACACTAACACCTGGAGCTCCTCGGTCTGTGTTTAACAGGGCAACTGTGGAAACTATATCAACCAAGGTTGCAGTCAGGCCTCCGTGTAAGTTACCAGCACGGTTTGTGTGATCCTCCTCAACTTTCAATTCACAAACCAGCTTTCCTGCACTTGCAGAGACAAGATGTAACTGGAAAATGAAAAACAAACAATAACAAAAACGTTTGTGTATTTGCTAGTTAATAGAAACACTTGTAATTTAATTACCAAAACTTTCTAAAAAAAATACAAACTGCCTGGATGCCATTCTCACACTCCAACATTATTATTGAGGGAGTTAAAGATCTGGAACAAGCATTGGACAGATTTTCCAATAAGTTACAGAATTACTTTTTTACATTGGACCTTGGATCCTTGAAAGTGATTTTCATTCTCTCCAACTTCCTTTCAACCTCTCTGGTTTGTCATTGCTGTTTCAGCTAGCAGGTAACCAAGACATCCACTCACAAAAAGTATGGAAATATAGGAGTATGGTCAATCCACCATAGTGACCATTGTCACAGATAATCACAGCCTATTAAAACAAAGTAAAGTAGTAGCTAAAAGAACAAGCTCTTCAAAATGTTAGCTTGAAGCTGAATTCCAGGTATGGCTATTTTTGCTTAGTTACATTGGTCCAACTTGGACCTGCTGTATGTATGCATGTGCCATACCTGGCCAATCTCTGTGGATGCTGGATGTCACTGTAGTAGGCACTGCTAATACAGTGACTGCCATTAGCTAACTGCAAGAGGTTCTTAACACCGCATAACCACCATTCAAGGAACACCTTGCATTTTCTCAATGAATGCAAAGCATTCTCTGATTGGACAAGTTGGGGATTGCTTCTTCAATTCATCCAATCAGAAAATGCTTTGCATTCATTGAGAGAATTAAGTGTTCTTCGAATGGCACCCGTGCCCAAGGCTGTGACCTCTTATTCTCCCTGAGCAGCAGGGTAGCTGCTCGACATGGGATCTGGAAGCCAGAGGCAATCACTGTAGTAGCCATGCCTACAACATTGATTTCCACTTTCCACCTGGATCTTCCAGGTATGACAAATGGACAAACTGGACCAATGTAACTATGCAAAAATAGCCATACCTGGAAATCAACTAGCACTAGCCTAACTTTAAACAGTTTTCCACTTCTTGCCAGCTGTCAGCAGCTCAGGGTCCAGTAGCTACCAATACTAGAACACAGTCCTGGCAGGGTGTCAAGCATGCTTGGTCATTGGTTAGATTGCGTGTGCAAGCAGATGACTAGCTAGCAGACTCTGGGAAAGAGAAGAAAGCCCTTATTCTCAATGGCTAGCAACTGTGCATACAATTTTTTTTTCTTTTATACAAAAGGAGCCATAGCAATGAAGTCTGTAAAACAAGTACTTCCCAGCCCTGGGTGAGCAATGAGATCACTGTACGTCAGCATCCAAGATATTTTTGATATATAATGAATAGGGCAAGGACCCATCTGTGACACTTTTTTGGCCTCATTCTTATGGCCACTGATGTTTACATATTGGCCTTGAATGAGTACTTCATGCGGCTGAGGCACATGTGCAGAATATCCTTTGCCAATTCTGAATGACCAGAGCATTTTTGCACTGAAGTCAATGGGGGGGGGGGGGGGGGGGGGGGTGCATTTAAGTCAATAGGGGGGGGGGGAGGGTGGCATTTAAGTCAATGGGGCAGGGAGATTTTGTATTAATGTCAATGGGACACAATTTTAAATTGAAGTCAATGAGACGTGATTTTAAATTTTTTTTAAAAATTGAAGTCAATGGGATGTGATTTTAAATTGAAGTTAATGGGAAGCGATTCTAAATTGCAGTCAAGGGGATGCAAATTTGAATTTAAGTCAATGGGAGGCAATTTGTATTGAAGTCAATCATCATTATTGGCACCGTTTTTTTTCCTATCAGCAAAGCACTGATAAAACTATTTTCGGCCAATAATTTTCAACGGCCGATACATCGGTGCATCACTAAAAAAGGGTACACTCGTGAGGAGGCATACAAGATTCTGAGCATGACAGATGAAAGCGAAGTAGAGGCTTCACTGTGAGAATCAGGATATGAACCTGTAGAAAGCAGCAGCACCCCGACAGCTAGCTTGGATAAGGCTGAAGAGGTCCCTATTAAAATCAGGTGTACCTGACCCCATGTTGCTGAAGTGCTAGAAGCACATAATTATTCTCAGAAGCAGCAGGGCGCAAAAAAATTGAGCTGCATCACTTTTTGGTCAGGCAAGTACCAGCAGCATAGTACATCCTGACCTTTTAGACACCAGCACTGCAGTATTTCATAGTGAAGTGGTGAGCATCAGCAGTACAGTATAAGCAGGTGAGTTGGCTAGCACTAGTAGCATAATGCAACTGCAGCCATCAAGACATCAAGCAGAGGCCGTAGTAGCCTTATATAGGTGCTTGCAAGCCTTAATTGGCTGCCCCCAGATTCAGCAGCACCCGGTATCCCCCCATCCACAGCCCAGCCTGGGGGTTCAGGTGGAAACAGCCAACTTAAGAACACCCCTTGTAATTTTTTAGCTGTTTTTCATCGAAGACCTCTATAATTTGATTGTAGACCAAGCTAATGTTTATACCCTACAGTGCATTGCCGCCAACCCAAATTCATACCTTTCCAGGCCAGGCAAGTGGAAACCTATAACGAGTTCCCAATTTAAAGCTTTTTTGGGCCTAACCCATGGGCATTACAAAAAAAATAATGAATTACTGTCATGTTGGTCCACAAACTTGATTCATCATATACCCATGTTCTCTGCTACAATGGCCAGGAAAATATATGAGATAAGAATACGTTTTATGTAGTTCAGTGATAACACACTGTCATCCCTGAGGTGACCCTGACTATGATTGGCTCCACAAAATTCTGCCCCTCATAAATGGCCTGTCCCACGAATTTGCAGGTGTATATACGCCCAAACATAATATCTGCATAGACAAATCTCTTGTCTACATGTCCCTTGTACATTTTACTGGAAGGCTTGCAATCAAGCAATATCTCCCCAGCAAGAGTACCAGATATGGGGTGAAAATGTAAAAGGTCTGTGAGAGGGCCACTGGCTATACATACCGCTTTAGAATTAATGAGGGAAAAGACAGTCAAGTGGAGCCCCCAGATGCCCTGACTATGGGGAGCAGTGGTAAGATATAGTGTGGGACTTGTTGTCACCCTTGCTCCATATGGGGTACCATTTGTATGTTGACAGCTTTTATGCAAGTGTGTCACTTTTTAGACATTTGTGCCTTCAAAAAAATTGGCTGCTGTGGCACCATGCAACCTAATCACAGGGGCTTCCCCTACAGCTCCTTAACACCCCTCCTAAAAAGGGGGATAAAGCCTGCTTGGGGAAAGAACTAGTTGCGGTAAAATGTAAGGACAAATGTGATGTATTCATCACATCTTCCGTTCACACAGACACAACGGTCCAAATTCACACGGCATATGGTGTCGTTGAAAAGCCTCTCTGCCTCCACAGCTATAGACTAAATATGAGAGGTATAGAATTTAAAGACCAAATGATGAAGCCGTATTTAGCCTCCCACAGAGCTATACACTGGTACAAAACAGTATCTATTTATTTCAATTGGCTCTATACAATTTATTTGTTAATTACAAAGCTACTGGAAGAACTGGATCTTTTTTAAAATTTAGGGAAACAAATGTCTCAGCTCTTTTGTATCTACTGTACCCCCTATTTTATTTATTTAAAAAAAAACAACAACAATAATAAAACGGTTTATAGTGCACCAAGCACAAAAGTATTGCACCCAAGCACCAAATTCCCATCCAACACTCAAAATCCCCATCATGTCTAAAAGGTCAACAGAGAGGCAGACGCTCACAGGCACGGAGTCGTCACCTGAATATATTCGATCATAGTGTCAGTTACATGCTGCTGGAGGATGAGCAGCAATTTGAATGCTCCGATGTTAGTTTCCAAGTTGAGGAAGACAGTGACATGAGCCTAGAGAGAAGGAATGCCAATGGCGGACAAGAATTTGGCAGTCATGTTCCCCCAGCATAGTGCCAAGTTGGCTCTAGTTATGAGGAGGGAGGGGATGATGAGGTCACTGACTGTACTGGGTGCCTGAGAGAACAGAGGAGGAAAGTGAAGAGGAAGCGCAACTCCAACAAGGCAGGATGTCCTCCAGGGATAGGCGTAAGGGCAGCCACCCTATTGCATCACACAACAGAGCTCCACAGGTGCAGGGCGCTGCGGACTCCCAGGTTCATTGATGTGGGCTTTTTTCATACATGTGCAGCAGACTGTTGCAGTCTCTGTCTGAAGTGGATCAAGCGTGGCCAAAACACCAGATGCTTGGGCACCACATTCTTGACAACACATATGACGACTTGCCATGCAGCCCATTGCCAGCAGCACCTGAAAGACCCACATCATAAAAAAGTGCAGACTTCTCCTTGCTCATCTGGGATCTCTACCCTAATATACCTCAAGTTGTCTCAACAGCCTCCATGGTATAGCAATGGGTGCCACAGGTCCTTGCACCCAATCTGCTAGCAATTTTGCTACCTCAGTTGGTGAATTGTAAAAAAAAAAATAAAAAATACTGTCCCACCCATCCACATACTCAACATCTAAATACTAGCTTGGCCAAATTGCTAGCATTACAACTGCTGCCTTTCCATCTAGTGAACTCTGCCCCCTTCCGCGGAATTTGCGGAATGTGCTTTACCACAGTGGCAGGTTCCGAAAAGAAATTTATTTTTGTGTAAGGCCATTGCAGCTCTGTACCATCATGTGAAAGGCAGTGTTTTGGCATCGTTGGACAGGGCGCTCAGCAGCAAGGTCCACATTACTGCTGACACGTGGTCCACCAGGCATGGTCAGGAGCATTACATTTCCTTCACGGCGCAGTGGCTAACTCTGCTGGCAACTGGGAAGGATGCAGGACAGGGTTCAGTGCTGGAGCTTGTTCCGCCACGCCTCCAAAATGCTGATGGTGATTTTGCCACATCTGTTTGCTCCACCACCTTCTCTTCCTCTATGGTCTCTACTGCTGAAGTGTCCTTTGAACCAGTAGTGCTCCCTAAGCGTTCAAGAGGCTACGCAAGCAGTCAGGCTAAAAGATGCCATGCGGTACTTGAGTTGGTCTGTTAGGGGACAGGAGCCAGACCAGAGCAGAGATTCTGTCAGCTCTGCAGGGGCACGCTCAGAGGTGGTTAATGCCACGGCAGCTTGAGCCAGAAATGGTTGTATGCAACAATGGCACCAACCTTCTCTTGGCCCTTTGACAGGGACACTTGACATGTTTCATGCTTGGCACATGTCCTGAATTTGTTGGTGCAGCGTTTCTTGAACAGGTATCCAGGCTTACAAGATCTTTTAAGTCAGGCCAAAAAAGTCTGTGGCCATTTCCGGCAGTTATGCACAGCCAGTGTTTGGCTGGCTGACATTCAAAGGGAATTCAACTTGCCCACCAACCGCCTCATTTGTGACATGCCCCCCCAGGTGGAACTCAACATTGGCAATGCTGCAGCAGCAGCAGCCCACGCAGCAGAGGGGCATCAATACGTACCTGTGTGAGTATGGCACAAAGACAGGGTTAAGAGGAGCTTGGCCTCTTTTCGCCATGCCAGTGGCTGCTGATAAAGGATGCATCCACTGTCCTGTCACCATTTGAGGCCACAAGGATGGTGAGCCACGACAATGCATGCATTAGTAACACTATCCCTCTGGTCTTCCTGCTGGAGCAAATTCTGTGTGGAGTCATGGACAGGGCACTTGAGGCAGAATAGTGGGAGGAAGAGGAGGACTTACTTACCTTTCAAGACTCCGAGTATACAGATATCATTCCTGTGGGGGGTGGGTAAGGGGCTTTTAGGGGGAACCCCACGCACTTTGTTTTCTTAAATTTTTTACTGTGGGGTCCCTCCTACCAGACCTAAAGGGTCTAGTATGGATTAGGGGAGGACCCCACGCCGTTCTTTACAAACATAAAAATGCAGCAAGTTCTATACATTGCACGGTTGAGAAACTTTGCAGGTAATTTAAAGGTAACCTTCAGACATGATATTTAAAAGGAATTTATTTTTACTTTAAGCAATGAAAAATGATTGCCCCTTTAAAAACTACTTTTTTATTTTTTTTCCACTGATTCAAGTCCCTCAGGACAATACCCAAGTCCCCATAGCCCTTTTATGGCCAATAACGTGCATATAAGCCTTCAAAATGGGCACTTTTGAATTTACAAGTTCGAGTCCCATAGACTTGCATTGACTTCAAAGTTTGTGGTCGAACTTTCGTTAGGTTTGAATATTCGACCACAAAATGAATAGGGGGGTGTTCAGCCCATCACTACTTGGGAGACGTAGCAGAATGTGTTTTGCCATGTATACCCATGACGTGTGTGCGAAATATCTCAGTAAAGTAACAGCTTGGTGTACTTTGTTTTTTTGTCATTTTTAAAAAACTTGTGGAAAAAATAAAATCTTCTATGGACTCAACATGCCTCTCAGCAAATACCTTGGGGTGTCTACTTTCCAAAAAGAGTTAATCTGGGGTTTGTCTGTACTGTGAAATGTCAGAAAGTCAGAGCTGCTTAAAAGCTGCGTAAATTCCGGTACACAGGTGAAACTCGAAAAATTAGAATATCGTGCAAAAGTTCATTTATTTCAGTAATGCAACTTAAAAGGTAAAACTAATATATGAGATAGACTCATTACATGCAAAGCAAGATAGTTCAGGCCGTGATTTGTCATAATTGTGATGATTATAGATTACAGCTCATGAAAACCCCAAATCCACAATCTCATAAAATTAGAATATTGTGAAAAGGTGCAATATTCTAGGCTCAAAGTGTCCCACTCTAATCAGCTAATTAAGCCATAACACCTGCAAAGGGTTCCTGAGCCTTTAAATGGTCTCTCAGTCTGGTTCAGTAGGAATCACAATCATGGGAAAGACTGCTAACCTGACAGTTGTGCAGAAAACCATCATTGACACCCTCCATAAGGAGCGAAAGCCTCAAAAAGGTCATTGCAAAAGAAGTTGGATGTTCCCAAAGTGCTTTATCAAAGCACATTAATATAAAAGTTATGTGGAAGGGAAAAGTGTGGAAGAAAAAGGTGCACAAGCAGCAGGGATGACTGCAGCTTGGAGAGGATTGTCAGGAAAAGGCCATTCAAAAGTGTTGGGGACTTTCACAAGGAGTGGACTGAGGCTGGAGTCAGTGCATCAAGAGCCACCACACACAGACGGATCCTGGACATGGGCTTCAAATGTCGTATTCCTCTTGTCAAGCCGCTCCTGAACATCAAAGTCAGAAGCGTCTTACCTGGGCCAAAGAAAAACAGATATGGTCTGTTACTCAGTGGCCCAAAGTCCTCTTTTCTGATGAGAGCAACTTTTGCATCTCATTTGGAAACCAAGGACCCAGAGTATGGAGGAAGAATGGAGAGGCACACACTGCAAGATGCTTGAAGTCCAGTGTGAAGTTTCCACAGTCTGTGTTGATTTGGGGGGACCATGTCATCTGCTGCTGTTGGTCCACTGTGCTTCATTAAGTCCAGGGTCAACGCAGCCGTCTACCAGGAGATTTTGGAGCACTTCATGCTTCCTTCCGCAGATGAGCTTTATGGGGATGCTAACTTCATTTTCCAGCAGGACTTGGCACCTGTCCACACTGCCAAAAATACCAAAACCTGGTTCAATGACCGTGGGATTACTGTGCTTGATTGGCCAGCAAACTCGCCTGACCTGAACCCCATAGAGAATCTATGCGGCATTGCCAAGAGAAAGATGAGAGACATGAGACCGAACAATGCAGAAGAGCTGAAGGCTGCTATTGAAGCATCCTGGTCTTCCATAACACCTCAGCAGTGCCACAGGCTGATAGATTCCATGCCACGCCGCATTGAGCCAGTAATTGCTGCAAAAGGGGCCCAAACCAAGTACTGAGTACATATGCATGCTTATACTTTTCAGAGGTCTGATATTGTTCTATGTACAATCCTTGTTTTATTGATTGCATGTAATATTCTAATTTTCTGAGATTGTGGATTTGGGGTTTTCATGAGCTGTAAGCCATAATCATCACAATTATGACAAATCACGGCTTGAACTATCTTGATTTGCATGTAATGAGTCTATCTCATATATTAGTTTCACCTTTTAAGTTGCATTACTGAAATAAATGAACTTTTGCACGATATTCTAATTTTTCAAGTTTCTCCTGTATATACAGTACCATAGTTTGTAGATGCTTTAACTTTCACACAAACCAATAATATAAACGTATTGGGATATTCTTTTTACCAGATACATGTAGCAGAATACATCTTGGCCTACATTTATGAGGAAACTTGATTTTATTGGATATGTTTTATAACAGAAAGTAGAAAATATTTGTTTCCTAAATTTTGGCCTTTTTTTGTTTATATTATAAAAAAACCCATTGTTGATCAAATGCCACCAAAAGAATGCTCTATTTGTATTGTAAAAAAAATTATATAAATTTAATTTGGATACAGTGTTGCAAAACCACCCAATTGCCAGTAAAAGTAGCGCAGTGCTGAATAGCAAAAAAATGTCCTGGTCATGAAGGGGGTAAAACCTTCCGGAAGCCAAGTGATTAAAGTAGAAGTAATGTGGGGATTGCTGCAGAAGTGAACAAAATTAAGTAAGACTCCTATTTAGAGAAAGCTGATTATTTCCCACTGGCAACAGCCACCCAACATTAGCCTTACACATCTCCAAAGCTGACCATACAATCTGATTGTACAAATCCCTTTAGACCACAAAGCAGTGTGAGGTCCTCTGTAAGACTCCGTTCACACTAGAGAGTTTCGAATTGCAGGTGGGATTGCCGTGATTGGAAAACGCATGATTGAGTGTTCAGCTGCCATTTATTTTAATGGTACCTGAAAACGCTAAGCCTTTTTGCCGTGCAGTCGTGCAAACAAAATCGCAGGATGCACAACACCAAAAACATTTTTCAAAATCGTTTTTGGGTGTCATGCGTTCCAGGATTTTGTTTGCTCGATCTCGGTGCGTTTGTTGCGTGGGAAAACACACTGCGATTGCGGCAAATACGCCCCATGTTTTCAGGTGCCATTGAAATGAATGGCACCTGCACACACAATCACGCAAGTTCACATTTTCACAGCGCGTTTTCAAATCTCGGGGAGAATCGCTGCGATTCCGCCTGCGATATAAAACGCCTGTGTGAATGGAGCATGATGGACACAATATAAATAGATTGTTGAGGTTTGTCCTCCTGTGTTAGATTGGTAAATGTAAACAAGCCCGGACAGAGATCGCACAATCAGATCCCAGTCCTCAATACTGCCCATCATACCTTATTCAGGACTCGGTCAAATCCAGGCCCTTCACTTAACCCTTTCATTATCGCCCTCAATGCGTTAAAACCTACGGAGCCCATGACCGGCAGATTTACACCGGCAGCAAGTCACCTCCACAAAGTGAAGGAATATGCGCCCCGACTCCGCCCAAGTCCCGCCTCCACACGGAAATAGTTATAAATAAGGGAGCCAGTCATTAGCTGTAGAACTAGAGAACAGCAGCGCTGAGAGGAAGCGGACTAACAACTGGCGCAGGAGATCTACTCAGTGAGCAACTTTGCGTATAATTCTTTATACTTCCGCATTGCTTGTATCACTTGCCTCAGCTCCGGACATGTTAGGTGCGCTGCAATTGGTCAGGGGGATGTGAACGCCCTCACGTGCTCCGCTAATCAGCAGGAAGACCCAATAGGTCTGGGAGGGGCGGTAATGGGATTGGACGGCGTGGTGTTCGCGGCTAGAGCAAGCCTGAGAAGTGGGCGTGGTGTGAGGCTGTCAGCGTTTGCAAACAGATACAGTATGGATGATGAGCGGACTGAGGATTCTTTGCTGGGAGAAGATGGAGATCTGTGCAGTGACCGGGAACAGAAGTGCAAAGCGTTTGCCAGCATTGCAGGCTGCGACCCTGGGGTGGCTCAGTGCTATCTGGCAGAGAATGACTGGGAGCTGGAAGTATGACTGTTTATATACTCCTGTATAGGAAGTATGACTGTTTATACTCCTGTATAGGAAGCATGATTGTTTATACTCTGTATAGGAAGCATGACTGTTTATACTCTGTATAGGAAGTATGACTGTTTATACTCTGTATAGGAAGTATGACTGTTTATACTCTGTATAGGAAGCATACTCTGGGAAGCATGACTGTTTATACTCTGTATAGGAAGCATGGCTGTTTATACTCTGTATAGGAAGCATGACTGTTTATACTCTGTATAGGAAGCACGGCTGTTTATACTCTGTATAGGAAGCACGGCTGTGTTTATATACTCTGTATAGGAAGTACGGCTGTTTTATACTCTGTATAGGAAGTATGACTGTTTATACTCTGTATAGGAAGGATGACTGTTTATACTCTGTATAGGAAGGATGACTGTTTATACTCTGTATAGGAAGGATGACTGTTTATACTCTGTATAGGAAGCATGGCTGTTTATATACTCTGTATAGGAAGGATGGCTGTTTATACTCTGTATAGGAAGGATGGCTGTTTATACTCTGTATAGGAAGGATGACTGTTTATACTCTGTATAGGAAGGATGACTGTTAATACTCTGTATAGGAAGGATGACTGTTTATACTCTGTATAGGAAGGATGACTGTTTATACTCTGTATAGGAAGCATGATTGTTTATACTCTGTATAGGAAGTATGACTGTTTATACTCTGTATAGGAAGCATGGCTGTTTATACTCTGTATAGGAAGGACGACTGTTTATACTCTGTATAGGAAGCACGGCTGTTTATACTCTGTATAGGAAGCACGGCTGTGTTTATACTCTGTATAGGAAGCACGGCTGTGTTTATACTCTGTATAGGAAGTATGACTGTTTATATACTCTGTATAGGAAGCATGATTGTTTATACTCTGTATAGGAAGCATGACTGTTTATACTCTGTATAGGAAGTATGACTGTTTATACTCTGTATAGGAAGCATGGCTGTTTTATACTCTGTATAGGAAGGATGACTGTTTATACTCTGTATAGGAAGCACGGCTGTGTTTATACTCTGTATATAGGAAGTACGGCTGTGTTTTATACTCTGTATAGGAAGTATGACTGTTTTATACTCTGTATAGGAAGTATGACTGTTTATACTCTGTATAGGAAGCATGATTGTTTATACTCTGTATAGGAAGGATGACTGTTTATACTCTGTATAGGAAGCACGGCTGTTTATACTCTGTATAGGAAGCACGGCTGTTTATACTCTGTATAGGAAGCACGGCTGTTTATACTCTGTATAGGAAGCACGGCTGTGTTTATACTCTGTATAGGAAGTATGACTGTTTATATACTCTGTATAGGAAGTATGACTGTTTATACTCTGTATAGGAAGTATGACTGTTTATACTCCTGTATAGGAAGCATGGCTGTGTTTTATACTCTGTATAGGGAGTATGACTGTTTATACTCTGTATAGGAAGTATGGCTGTTTATACTCTGTATAGGAAGTATGACTGTTTTATACTCTGTATAGGAAGCACGGCTGTGTTTATACTCTGTATAGGAAGTATGACTGTTTATACTCTGTATAGGAAGTACGGCTGTGTTTATACTCTGTATAGGAAGCACGGCTGTGTTTATACTCTGTATAGGAAGCACGGCTGTGTTTATACTCTGTATAGGAAGCACGGCTGTGTTTATACTCTGTATAGGAAGCAAGCACGGCTGTGTTTATACTCTGTATAGGAAGCACGACTGTTTATACTCTGTATAGGAAGCACGGCTGTTTATACTCTGTATAGGAAGGATGACTGTTTATACTCTGTATAGGAAGCACGGCTGTGTTTATACTCTGTATAGGAAGCACGGCTGTGTTTATACTCTGTATAGGAAGTATGACTGTGTTTATACTCTGTATAGGAAGTATGACTGTTTATACTCTGTATAGGAAGTATGACTGTTTATACTCTGTATAGGAAGTATGACTGTTTATACTCTGTATAGGAAGTATGACTGTTTATACTCTGTATAGGAAGTATGGCTGTTTATACTCTGTATAGGAAGTATGACTGTTTATACTCTGTATAGGAAGTATGGCTGTTTATACTCTGTATAGGAAGTATGACTGTTTATACTCTGTATAGGAAGTATGACTGTTTTATACTCTGTATAGGAAGGATGATTGTTTATACTCTGTATAGGAAGGATGACTGTTTATACTCCTGTATAGGAAGGATGACTGTTTATACTCCTGTATAGGAAGCATGGCTGTGTTTATACTCCTGTATAGGAAGTATGACTGTTTATACTCTGTATAGGAAGTATGACTGTTTATACTCTGTATAGGAAGTATGGCTGTTTATACTCTGTATAGGAAGTATGGACTGTTTATACTCTGTATAGGAAGTATGGCTGTTTATACTCTGTATAGGAAGTATGACTGTTTATACTCTGTATAGGAAGTAAGTATGAAGACTCTGTATAGGAAGGATGATTGTTTATACTCTGTATAGGAAGGATGACTGTTTTTATACTCTGTATAGGAAGGATGACTGTTTATACTCTGTATAGGAAGCACGGCTGTGTTTTATACTCTGTATAGGAGGTATGGCTGTGGTTTATACTCTGTATAGGAAGCACGGCTGTGTTTATACTCTGTATAGGAAGCACGGCTGTGTTTATACTCTGTATAGGAAGCACGGCTGTGTTTATACTCTGTATAGGAAGCACGACTGTTTTATACTTTATATACTCTGTATAGGAAGTATGACTGTTTATATACTCTGTATAGGAAGCATGGCTGTTTATACTCTGTATAGGAAGGATGACTGTTATTATACTCTGTATAGGAAGCACGGCTGTGTTTATACTATACTCTGTATAGGAAGCACGGCTGTGTTTATACTCTGTATAGGAAGTACGGCTGTGGTTTATACTCTGTATAGGAAGTATGACTGTTTATACTCTGTATAGGAAGCATGGCTGTTTATACTCTGTATATAGGAAGGTATGGAAGCTGTTTTATACTCTGTATAGGAAGCACGGCTGTTTTATACTCTGTATAGGAAGCACGGCTGTGTTTATACTCTGTATAGGAAGCACGGCTGTGTTTATACTCTGTATAGGAAGTATGACTGTTTATACTCTGTATAGGAAGTATGACTGTTTATACTCTGTATAGGAAGCATGGCTGTGTTTATACTCCTGTATAGGAAGTATGACTGTTTATACTCTGTATAGGAAGTATGACTGTGTTTATACTCTGTATAGGAAGTATGACTGTTTATACTCTGTATAGGAAGCACGGCTGTGTTTATACTCTGTATAGGAAGTATGTGTTTATACTCTGTATAGGAAGTATGACTGTTTTATACTCTGTATAGGAAGCACGGCTGTGTTTATACTCTGTATAGGAAGCACGGCTGTGTTTATACTCTGTATAGGAAGTATGACTGTTTATACTCTGTATAGGAAGTATGACTGTTTATACTCTGTATAGGAAGTATGACTGTTTATACTCTGTATAGGAAGTATGACTGTTTTATACTCTGTATAGGAAGTATGACTGTTTATACTCTGTATAGGAAGCATGGCTGTTTATACTACTGTATAGGAAGGATGACTGTTTATACTCTGTATAGGAAGAAGCACGGCTGTGTTTATACTCTGTATAGGAAGCACGGCTGTGTTTATACTCTGTATAGGAAGCACGGCTGTGTTTATACTCTGTATAGGAAGCACGGCTGTGTTTATACTCTGTATAGGAAGCACGGCTGTGTTTATACTCTGTATAGGAAGCACGGCTGTGTTTATACTCTGTATAGGAAGCACGGCTGTGTTTATACTCTGTATAGGAGGCACGGCTGTGTTTATACTCTGTATAGGAAGCACGGCTGTGTTTATACTCTGTATAGGAAGCACGGCTGTGTTTATACTCTGTATAGGAAGTATGACTGTTTATACTCTGTATAGGAAGCATGGCTGTTTATACTCTGTATAGGAAGGATGACTGTTATATACTCTGTATAGGAAGCACGGCTGTGTTTATACTCTGTATAGGAAGCACGGCTGTGTTTATACTCTGTATAGGAAGTATGGACTGTTTATACTCCTGTATAGGAAGTATGACTGTTTTTATACTCTGTATAGGAAGTATGACTGTTTATACTCTGTATAGGAAGTATGACTGTGTTTATACTCTGTATAGGAAGGATGACTGTTTATACTCTGTATAGGAAGGATGACTGTTTATATACTCTGTATAGGAAGGATGACTGTTTTATACTCTGTATAGGAAGGATGACTGTTTATACTCTGTATAGGAAGGATGACTGTTTATACTCTGTATAGGAAGGATGACTGTTTATACTCTGTATAGGAAGGATGACTGTTTTATACTCTGTATAGGAAGCACGGCTGTGGTTTATACTCTGTATAGGAAGCACGGCTGTGGTTTATACTCTGTATAGGAAGCACGGCTGTGTTTATACCCTGTATAGCAGTGGTTCTCAACCTTTCTAATGCCGCGACCCCTTAATACAGTTCCTCATGTTGTGAACCCCAACCATAAAATTATTTTTGTTGCTACTTCATAACTGTAATTTTGCAGTGGGAGGAGTAGTGCCACATCACTAGTGTCAGTGGAAGGAGTAGTGCCCCATCACTGGTGTCAGTGGGGGGAATAGTGCCCCATCGTTGGTGTCAGTGGGGGGAATAGTGCCCCATCGTTGGTGTCAGTGGGGGGAATAGTGCCCCATCGTTGGTGTCAGTGGGGGGAATAGTGCCCCATCGTTGGTGTCAGTGGGGGGAATAGTGCCCCATCGTTGGTGTCAGTGGGGGGAATAGTGCCCCATCGTTGGTGTCAGTGGGGGGAATAGTGCCCCATCGTTGGTGTCAGTGGGGGAATAGTGCCCCATCGTTGGTGTCAGTGGGGGGAATAGTGCCCCATCGTTGGTGTCAGTGGGGGGAATAGTGCCCCATCGTTGGTGTCAGTGGGGGGAATAGTGCCCCATCGTTGGTGTCAGTGGGGGGAATAGTGCCCCATCGTTTGTGTCAGTGGGGGGAAATAGTGCCCCATCGTTGGTGTCATGGGGGGAATAGTGCCCCATCGTTGGTGTCAGTGGGGGGGGAATAGTGCCCCATCGTTGGTGTCAGTGGGGGGGAATAGTGCCCCATCGTTGGTGTCATTGGGGGGGAATAGTGCCCCATCGTTGGTGTCATTGGGGGGGGAATAGTGCCCCATCGTTGTGTCATTGGGGGGAATAGTGCCCCATCGTTGGTGTCATTGGGGGGGGAATAGTGCCCCATCGTTGGTGTCATTGGGGGGAGGGAATAGTGCCCCATCGTTGGTGTCATTGGGGGGGGGAATAGTGCCCCATCGTTGGTGTCATTGGGGGGGGGGAATAGTGCCCCATCGTTGGTGTCATTGGGGGGGGGAATAGTGCCCCATCGTTGGTGTCAGTGGGGGGAGGAATAGTGCCCCATCGTTGGGGTCAGTGGGGGGAGGAATAGTGCCCCATCGTTGGGGTCAGTGGGGGGAGGAATAGTGCCCCATCGTTGGGGTCAGTGGGGGGAGGAATAGTGCCCCATCGTTGGGGTCAGGGGGGGAGGAATAGTGCCCCATCGTTGGGGTCAGTGGGGGGGAGGAATAGTGCCCCATCGTTGGGGTCAGTGGGGGGAGGAATAGTGCCCCATCGTTGGGGTCAGTGGGGGGAGGAATAGTGCCCCATCGTTGGTATTAGTGACACAAATGATGGGGCACTATTCCTCCCACTGACACCAATGATACTTACCTTGCTGACCCCTGCTCCAGCCTGGGCTCGCTCTCTCCCTCTCCATCTACAGCCTGCATACCTGGCTGCAGCAGCAAAATTTGCACTTACCTGTCAGCTGTCTTCCTTCTCTGGCCGCTCTCCTCTTCACTTGCTCCGGCAGCTCCCTCGATCTTCTTTGATCTACGCGCTCTGCCGCTCGGCTCCTCCTCTCCAAGCTCCACCTCCTCGCCGGTGATTGGCCGCCTGTGTGCCTCTCCTGAGCTACAGTTCCGGTGGCCAATCAGCGGCGAGGAGGCGGAGCTGTTGAGTGATCCGGAGGTGTGGCCAGGTGATAGGGGCAGCATATCATCCCGCCCACACATCGCCTGAGACAGAGGAGCGGTGTCTCGGTTCCTAAGACCATCGGAAATATGTGTTTTTCGATGGTCTTAGGCGACCCCCAGGTTGAGAACCGCTGCTGTATAGGGAGCACGGCTGTGGTTTATACCCTGTATAGGGAGCACGGCTGTGGTGTGGTTTATACCCTGTATAGGAAGTACACTTGCCCTCCAGAGGATTTACACCCCCCCCCCCCTCACCAGGCCATTTTTTGTGATACTGCGCTGTTGCTTTAACTGACAATTGCCGCGGTCATGCACCACTGTACATAGATTAAAATTTATGTCCTTTTTTTTTTCCCCCTCACAAATAGAGCTTTCTTTCGGTGGTATTTGATCACCTCTGCAGTTTTCTTTTTTGCACTATTAACAAAAAAAACTACAATTTTGAAAAAACCCAATATTTTTGACTTTTTGCTATAAAATATATCCAATAAGAAAAATTAACTTTGTCATAAATTTAGGCCAAAATGTATTCTGCTACAGGTCTTTGCTAAAAAAAAAAAAAAAAATCCAATGCATGTAAATAAATTGGTTTACGTGAAAGGTATAGCTTCTACAAATGGAGATGTGTATATATACTGGGATTTTTATTTTATACCAGTAATGGTGGTGATCAGTGACTTATAGTGGGTCTGCGGCGGGCATTCTGACACTGGGTGGGAACTACCACTGACATCCCCAGTGACATTAATACAGTGATTAGTGCTAATGAAAAGCACTAATGCTGTACTAATGACACTGGGCAGGAAGGGGTTAACTTTTGGCTGATCAAAGGGTTAACTGTGTTTACACACAGGTCTCTCCCCTGTCAGCTTTGCTCAGCGATCGCTGGGTGCCGGAGGGGAATCTCTGGCCAGGACCCGGTGTTTGACATCCATACCCGCCAATGGTCTGGAAATACAAATCACGTGTATATATACGTGATTTTGCGCAGCCTTGTAGCAGTAAAGGTGAACTCTGGGGAAAGGAAAAATACTCCTTTGTAGTAGGTTGGCCCCCTGCACTGCAAGAAGTAATTGCCTGTTTAGGTCTAGGGGACCCGGGGTAGTGTAACATGCCTGATCCTCTGCTCCTGCAGGCGTCGTCTGTGCTGCTGGGCCTGCTCCTGCAGGCGTCGTCTGTGCTGCTGGGCCTGCTCCTGCAGGCGTCGTCTGTGCTGCTGGGCCTGCTCCTGCAGGCGTCGTCTGTGCTGCTGGGCCTGCTCCTGCAGGCGTCGTCTGTGCTGCTGGGCCTGCTCCTGCAGGCGTCGTCTGTGCTGCTGGGCCTGCTCCTGCAGGCGTCGTCTGTGCTGCTGGGCCAGCTCCTGCAGGCGTCGTCTGTGCTGCTGGGCCAGCTCCTGCAGGCGTCGTCTGTGCTGCTGGGCCAGCTCCTGCAGGCGTCGTCTGTGCTGCTGGGCCAGCTCCTGCAGGGTCGTCGTCTGTGCTGCTGGGCCAGCTCCTGCAGGCGTCGTCTGTGCTGCTGGGCCAGCTCCTGCAGGCGTCGTCTGTGCTGCTGGGCCAGCTCCTGCAGGCGTCGTCTGTGCTGCTGGGCCAGCTCCTGCAGGCGTCGTCTGTGCTGCTGGGCCAGCTCCTGCAGGCGTCGTCTGTGCTGCTGGGCCAGCTCCTGCAGGCGTCGTCTGTGCTGCTGGGCCAGCTCCTGCAGGCGTCGTCTGTGCTGCTGGGCCAGCTCCTGCAGGCGTCGTCTGTGCTGCTGGGCCAGCTCCTGCAGGCGTCGTCTGTGCTGCTGGGCCAGCTCCTGCAGGCGTCGTCTGTGCTGCTGCGCCAGCTCCTGCAGTCTCTTCTCCCCATGCTGCATGCATCCTCATCATCATGACTGTTGTGGAGCCCATATGCTTGCAATGGATATGAGGACACTGAGGGACAGTCCAATGTTGGAAATCAAGGGGCAAGAAGAGCGCGTGGGCTTCCGGGGGAGTCATGGATGAGGTAACTATAACTGCTTTTCCCAGTCACCTAGATGTAAAGGAGCATTTAACCCTCACAGTGCAAGGGAGCCATTTTACTTTCTCTAGAGCTGGGCTTTAGCTTATGAAAAATGGAGGCAATTCATAATCGGTGCTAATGGTGTTCTAGTAACTGCTTGAGAAGGCTTGGAACTTAAGCATCATCAGATTAAAAGTAGTCCTGTTTAAAAATGCAGTATAAATGTGTGTGTTTTTTTTTTTTTTTTTCATCATAGAGAGCTATTAACTCCTTCTTTGAACCGGGAGTGGAGAGCATCTCACAAGAGGGAAGGTCAAATCAAGAGCCACAGGAGGGAAATAGAAGTGAACAAACCACGTCTGAAGGACAACAAATGCCTGTAACTGCTCCAGTTTGCTGGTAAGAGTAGATTCCAACCCCAGGATAAAATTACCCTCACCCTTTCCCAAACGCTGCATTGAGAACATTTTTCAAAATTCGAGGACTAAGCGAAGATCTCCTAAGGCTCCATTCACACAGGGTAATTAGCTGTGTGCCCCATGTGAGGGCCTTCTTTCTCCAGCATGGAGATGCAAAGGTGTTGTATCATTGGAAAGTCCCATTGATGTCTATTGAGACAGGCGGCTGCACAGACACAGCCACAGTGTCCTAATGTGGCATTGGTCCAGGTGCACTGCCCCAAACGCACCCAGGGTGAATTCAGGGACACGCACCCACACAGATGACACAGTAGCTGCGTCTGTGCAGCCACCTGTCCCAGTAGACCTCTTTGAGACTGCCGACATGGGCATGCAGGAAACACCTGTGCATCCCTGTGTTGATAAGATGGCCTTCGCATGGGGCGCAGAGCTAATCATTGTGTGTGAACAGTTACTTGTTCAGGCCTGAACCCTTATGTTTACTTCCTGAATGAGTCTTCTTTCCGGATGTCCATCACTGCTTCAGTGATGTGGACAGTTCCATTGACTGGCCACAAGCCTCAGGATCCATAAAATACTGACATCCGATTTGAAGGGAGAGTAGGGAATGGAAATGGACAGCTATGGGGGGGATTTACTACAACTGGAGCACTCAGAATCTGGTGCAGCTGTGCATGGTAGCCAATCCGCTTCTAATCTCAGCTTGTTCAACTAAGCTTTGGCAATACAACATGGAAGCTGATTGGTTTCTATGCAGAAGTGAGCCTGATTTAGCACTCTCCAACTTTAGTAAATACCCCCCCAGTGTGGTGCTGCACTAGTAGTCCCCGCTGGCAGAAACCGCATAATTGAAGAACCTTGATGGGAGTACTAGGGTATAACTGTACCAGGTAGGGAAAACCTGGCCAGATGGGTTAGAGAAGGGATGAAAAGAAAGGGGGGGAAATACTTTGCTTGTATTTGACCTTTAAAGATTCTGTCACCTTTAAAATACAGTTTTTTGTTTTGTTTTGTTTTGTTTTTTTCCTGAAAACCGATCCCTGCAGAAGAGGACCTTTTTAATACTCCACCGTAAAGTAGAGCGTCCTGACTTTCCTCTCCTACAGAGCTATGGCTTCTGACAGACCCTTCATCATACTATGCTTTAGGGTGTGTCAGATACTGTGTAGTTCATGGTAATTGCCTTCATCTCTGACAACAGTGCTTTGAGTTACTGAATCAGAAAAAGCATGCAGCAAGTGAGGCTCCATGCACACTGGCTTAAAAAGCTGCTTCTAGAGTTTAGCATTTTGACTGTAGAAGCAACTAATGTTCTCATCTATCCATTTACATTAGATAGTCTAGAGGTGTTTTTTAAGCTCAGCGTTCTGTTTTGCATTTGAGTTTTTCTGGTAGAACAATAGCTAGTGTCAAGGCACTCTGACACACATTTTGCATTTCTATTTTCAAACTGGGTTGTTTTAAGTCATGTGCAAAAAAGCATATCAGTAATTTTGACATTCTGATTAAGGCTCCATGCACACTGGCTTAAAAAAAAAAAATGCCAGTGCTCTTGGCAAAAAAAATGCTAATTTTGAGCGGGTTTTTGTACTAGTATTTAGGAGCATTTAGAGTGCCTTGAAAAAGTATTCATACACCTTGAAATTTTCCACATTTTCTCATGTTACAACCAAAAACAAATGTATTTTATGTGATAGACCGGGTGTCGGCAACCCGCGGCTCCGGAGCCGCATGCGGCTCTTTTTCATCTTTGCTGCGGCTCCGGAGCACACTGCCCACCAGGTGGTCGGCAAGCCGCAGATCGCGAGCCACATGCGGCTCTTCTGTGTGCCGGGCGCCCGCTCCCCTCCCTCCTCAAAAATCCGGCCCCGCGGAGCGTGGAACATTGGCTGTCAGGATGTAGGTGGGGCAGCCAGGATGTAGGCGGGGCAGAGTGACGAACTCCTCTCTCAGTCCGCCCTGAAGACCAGAACGGCGCGGGAACACAGTGAGAGGAACGCGCGGAGCAAAGGTAAGTGAATTGAGACAATATGGGGGATGAATTACTGTGTGGGGGATGAATTACTGTGTGGGGGATGAATTACTGTGTGGGGGATGAATTACTGTGTGGGGGATGAATTACTGTGTGGGGGATGAATTACTATGGGGGATGATATTACTATATGGGGGATGTATTTTCAGTTTTAAAAATGTGGCTGTCAAAATAAATTTCAATCGTGGTTTTGGCGAGATTTGGCTCAGTTGAAAAAAAAGGTTGCCCACCACTGACCTAAGGCTATGATTGTGATTATGAAGATACACTGTGGCCCTGATTAACCCTTTGCTTACTGGGCCCTTAAACCCCCTTCATGACCAGAGTGCTTTTTGCAATATATGCAGTGTCGGATTTGTTATAAATGTTGCAATGGTTTTGCGGCTCCCAGTCTTTTTTTTCCCTTCGGAAACGGGTCCAAGTGGCTCTTTATGTCTTAAAGGTTGCAGACCCCTGTGATAGACCAACACAAAGTGGCACATAATTGTGAAGTGGAAGGAAATGATAAATGGTTTTCAAAATGTTTTTACAAATATCTGAAAAGTGTGGCTTGTATTTGTATTCAGCCCCCTTTACTCTGATACCCCTAACTAAAATCTAGTGGAACCAACTGCTTTCAGAAGTCACCTAACTGGTAAATAGAGTCCACCTGTGTGTAATTTAATCTCAGTATAAATACAACTTTTCTGTGAAGCCCTCAGGTTTGTTAGAGAACATTAGTAGACAAACAACATCATGAAGGCCAAGGAACACACCAGAGAGGTCAGGGATAAAGTTGTGGAGAAGTTTAAAGCAGGGTTAGGTTATATAAAAAAAAATCCTATGCTTCGAACCTCTCACAGCGCACTGTTCAATCCATCATTCAAAAATGGAAAGAGTATGACACAACTGCAATCCTACCAAGAACTGGCCATCCACCTAAACAGACAGGCCGGGCAAGGAGAGGATTAATCAGAGAAGCAGCCAAGAGGCCCAAGGTAACTCTGGAGGAGCTGCAGAGATTCTTGGCTCGAATGAGAGTATCTGTCCACAGGACAACTATTAGTCGTGAATGCCACAAATCTGGCCTTTATGGCAGAGTGGCAAGAAGGCCATTAAAAGCAAAATCTGTGTGGAGGAAAACTAACACTGCGCATCACCCTGAACACACCATCCCCACCGTGAAATGTGGTGGCAGCATCACGTTTGGGGGGGGATGCTTTTTTTTTTTTTCAGCAGGGGCAGGGAAGCTGGAGTTGATGGGAAGATGGATGGAGCCAAATACAGGGCAATCTTAGAAGAAAACCTGTTAGAGTCTGCAAAAGACTTGAGACTGGGGTGGAGGTTCACCTTCCAGCAGGACAACCCTAAACATACAGCCAGAGCTAAATGGAAAGGTTTATGGCCCAGTCAAAGTCCAGACCTAAATCCAATTGAGAATCTATGGCAAGACTTGAAAATCGATGTTCAGAAGCTCTCCATCCAATCTGACACAGCGTGAGCTATTTTTCAAAGTAGAATGGATAGAAATTTCACTCTCCTAAATGTGCAAAGCTGGTAGAGACATCCCCAAAAAGACTTGCAGCTGTAATTGCAGCGAATGCTGGTTCTGCAAAGTATTGACTCAGGGGGGCTGACTACAAATGCATGCCACACTTTTCACACATTTATTTGTAAAAAATTTTGAAAACCATTTATCATTTTCCTTCCACTGCACAATTATGTGCCACTTTGTGTTGGTCACATAAAACCCAATAAAATACTTTTTTATTTTTGGTTGTAACATGATAAAATGTGGAAAATTTCAAGGGTTATGAATACTGTTTCAAGTCGCTCTAAATGCTCCTAAACACTAGTACAAAAACATGCTCAAAATTTGCTTTTTTTTTTTTTTTTTAGGCCAGTGTGCATGAAGCCTTGATGTCAAAATTACTGATATGCTTTCTTGCACATGACTTAAAACAACCCGGTTTGAAAATAGAAATGCAAACTTTGTTAGAGAGGTGGAGGTGTCAGCAGGAGGCAGAGAAACAGAAGTACACTGATCTTCCCAGTGAAGAACTGTGTAGCAGGGGTGTGTCAGTACAAGTCTGTCCACTGAGGGACAGGCAGGCTGTGCTCCCATGTAGAATGCAAAGAAGCAATCTGACCATGCTGGCTTGGTCAGTTTGAAAAAGAAAAGCATGGGGAATGGCAGGACCATGTCTTTCACTCTAAGAGCAGGCTTTTTTTTTTTAAAGTACACACCAGGAATTTTGGGGGTAACATAACATTAAAGGATAAGTTCACCTTTTGGGCAAACATAATAAATTTTTTTTTTTTTACCTGCAAAAAAAAAAAAAAATCTGCATTTATTATTTTTGCACTAAGGAGCCTCAGAAGCAGTGCTTCAGCTATCAGTAGATCGCTGATGCCATGCAGGACCTGTCAGAATATCTGCTTGCTGTACTGGGTGTGTGGTCAAGCAGATATTCCGACAGGAAGCTTCAATGAACTGCCACAGTGCCATGGTAGTTCATTGACACTACAAGCTGACAGCCACAAAGGCTGTCAGCACTTGCACATGGCCACGTTGTTTTAAATCTGACAGATAGTACGGGCAAACTTCTCCCTGTATTATCTGTCAGAGGAGGGGGGGCGGCAGGCACGGCTGCAGCTATGGGAACATGTTACATGTTCCACCCTAAAAGCGGAGGGAACGTGTTCCCAAAGGTGAACTTAACCTTTTAAAGTGTTGATAGTATTGGTTTAGCATGATAGCCAGGCAACTAACATTTTGGAAATGGGAAGTTACATTCTCTTCAATTTTATTCTGAGATGGCCTACATGGGTGTAAAAAACTGATGACTGTTTTCCATTCCAGCATAGATCTGACCAGTGATGAGCCCGTTGTTGCACAAACCTCTGATACAGCAAACCACACTACAGTGAGCCCGAAAGATGAAAGCCATTTTATCTTTGTCACTTGGAATATTGATGGGCTTGACTTATCCAATCTTCCAGAAAGAGCTCGAGCTGTTTGTTCATATTTAGCTTTGTAAGTACTTTTTGTGAATATATTTTTAGTGCATTTGAATTTTCCATCCACAATCTTTAGATAAACATGCTGCGTGATGTCTTGTGCTTGGGGGTACAGTAATCTACACCTTCCACTCTGTGCAACTTCTAGCTTTTAGACTTCAGTGAAATGCAGAGGAGGTGGGGGAGGCACATAAGTCCTGCTGTGACATAGAGAAGGGGAAGCTACAGCATCCTTGCTGTGATATACAGAGGTGGGGGAGCCACACAAAGGCCATGTAGAGGAAAAGCCACACAGGTCCTGTAGTGACCTAGAGGATGAGGGGAAGCTACACGAGTCAATGCAGTAATGTGGAGAAGGGAAGCTAAACAAAGTTCTATACTGACATGCAGTGGAGGAGGTAGATGAACACAAGTCTGCAATGATATGCAAAAGGAAGGGGGTACATCCTGTGGTGTACTGCATGTTTGAGTTTCTCTGCATCACACTGACTAGCGGAGCCTTGTGGACCCCCAAATAAGTTTTTTTTTTTTTTTTTTTTTTTTTTTTTTTTTTTTTTTTTTTTTTTTGGGGGGGGGGGGTTTGGGGTTTTTTTTTTTTCCTGCTAAAATAACACTGGGATTTTATAGTGGCAGCTTAGATTTAAGTATTGCTCTTTGATATTTTTTTTTTTTCTTGGTGTGCTTTTCACAATTCAAATTTGTCTAGTTTTTGTGATTAATAATTGAAAACAAATGTGTAAACAGAGCTACATTCACAGAAATATTCCTACATGCTATTAGAAACCATTCAGACATGGTCAGTGACCAAATTGTGAAAGTATGCCTTTCATGTCTCTGACACAATGATCAGAAAATAATTTGTTAGATTGATCACTTCCTGGCCCTTATGCAGGCCATACATGGGTCGAATTCCGAACGATTTTTCGTCCGAATATCAAAAACGTTGTTTGCTCGGTAATCCGATGGTGCCATCAGTGATCTCGAAAATCGGTTGACCAAGTTATAAAGTTCACCCATATAACAGGTGAAACTTCTGTTCCTTCCAGGTCACGGCTCATGCATATTCTTTTCGGAAAAACAATCATACGATTTGACCATCATTGAGTTGAAAATCAGTCATTTTTCATGAATTTTCCAACATGCCCGATTTCCAAAAAGGGAGGAACCACAAAAATCAGCCAGTACCATTGACCTACTAACAGAGGGAAAATTGGCCGTTTATTCTTAGGTTAAATTTTTGGACAAAAAATCAGTCGAATTTTGACCCATGTATGGCTGGCATAAGTGGGATAAGATCCTTCCAGAAGCTTTCAATACTGAATCTTGCAGTCAGAAGCAGCATGTTTGTAAAATACTGTTCTGTTTTATCCCCTTTTTCCAAATTTTGCTGGCTGTAGATATTTGTCCCACACCTAGGACACTGAGGGAAAAACTATTAGGGCTCATTCACACTAGCTTTTGCTACCCCCCCAACCACTACCCACTTTGGCTGCAAATATGGCGGCCAGGGGTGTACAGATGCTGCAATGTTTTACCTCAGGAATTATACCATCTGCCGCTTTCAATAGGTTCTACTGCCAAAAGAATGCAATCCATTGAAGCGAACGAGGTCCGCTCTGCAACCATGCCTCTCCACCATCTGCCAAATGCTCTGAAGAGTGATCCAGATGCAGATTGCGCTTTAGATAGCAAAATTAGTGTGAAGGAGCCCTTGGATAGCAGAAAACTTTTCCCTAATATGCTGTCTGGTGAAAACATTGTCCGTAGGACAAAAAGGCAGGAGGGAAAATTTATTCAAGTTCCTGATGGCAGTAAAAATGTAACATGGGTTCTAATTTCTGCTTGTGCGATCCAAAACTAGATAAAACTTTTTTGGCTCGGCATCCCATGTCATGACCATACTCCATTCTACCAGGTTGACTTCTGTCATCTTGATTGATTTTGGACCATCTCTATGTATATTTTAAGATATCACGATATTTGCCAGTTGGCCAGCAGGTTCCTATATTTGACTTGATGTGATACGTTACATTTATTGCTTTTTCGTGGTCTGTATTACCTTTTTTCTCTTTAATTTACAACAAAAATTTTTGGCCAAGTTGCACTTTAACATTTTTTTTTATCCAAAATCAAAAATTTTAAATGTTTGAAATCATTGCTTACCTTCTAATTCAAAGGTTTCCAAATGCTTTACACAAAGGACCAGTTCACTGTCCTTCAGGCTTTAGGGGGGGGCTGGACTTTGGCCAATGTAAGTAGAAAATGCCCAGGCATCAGTGGGAGTAAGCAATGCCCCATTATTAGTGTTAACAGGAGGAATAGTGTCCTATTTTTAGCAGGAGGAATTTTGCATCATGGTTTATTTCAGTGGTAGGAATAATGGTCATCGACTAGGTCAGTGGGAGGAATGGTGCCCCATTAATGGTGTCAGTGGGAGGAATGGTGCCCCATTAATGGTGTCAGTGGGAGGAATGGTGCCCCATTAATGGTGTCAGTGGGAGGAATGGTGCCCCATTAATGGTGTCCGTGGGAGGAATGGTGCCCCATTAATGGTGTCAGTGGGAGGAATGGTGCCCCATTAATGGTGTCAGTGGGAGGAATGGTGCCCCATTAATGGTGGCCGTGGGAGGAATGGTGCCCCATTAATGGTGGCCGTGGGAGGAATGGTGCCCCATTAATGGTGGCCGTGGGAGGAATGGTGCCCCTTTAATGGTGGCCGTGGGAGGAATGGTGCCTCATCACTGGTGTCAATTGAAGGGACAGTGTCCCAAGAGCCGGATAGAGGCAAGCGAAGGGCTGCAGTTTGGAGACTACTGATCTAATTGATTAGAATGTTGTATTGCTTTTCTGTCTTAACCCAGTGATTTTGCCAGTCATAGGCTCTACTTGTGTTTCCTGTCAGAGTGATAACTCCTCTGAGCTCTGCTGTTTAAACAGGAGCAGCTGTCACTCTTGGAAGCACTGTCCACACAGTCCACTGTAGACTACAAGCTGGTGAGTCAGCACATAGCCCACTTGCATGTTCAGCTTGATGGTTTGCAGGATGCACAGGTTATCATGGGACTTGTCGGCATGGTTGCAAATAGTGGCAGTGGCCAGCAGGGAGTTGGACATCTGTGCATTGCATGTGGTGTTAATAATAAAATTTTATAAATTTTTGGAAAAAAGTAATGCATCATTTTTATGTTCTATAACAGGTACAGTCCAGATGTTGTGTTTTTACAAGAGGTTATACCTCCATTTTATGACTATCTAAAGAAGAGAGCTGTTAGCTACACAATCATTACAGGTATGTATTTTCACCATTCTGTAGAGTTTCCCTTGTCATTGTTGAGTTCAGTCTTATGCAAAACACCAATACACATCAAATAACCCATATTGGTTTTTGTTCCCATTCTGCTAAGTAAACTTACATGACATATTTTGCACACCTTGTAGCGTTAATAAAACAAAAAATTTATATATTGCAGCTTACCAATCGCTTGGATGTGGTGGCTGCATTAGTTTTCTTTATGCTTTTCCCCTGGTGATCTGGCCAGTAACACACCTCTTGTATTTAAGAATGCCCCCACTCTGGATGAAGGAGCACAGGGGGACCTTTGGACAACAGCATTGTCAGTCTGGGGGGGGGGGGGGGGATGTTATATGTACTAGCAAATTTAAATACACTAGCAAATTGAACTCTGGTTAATACTTTATAAGTAGCTATAGCAACATTTATTTATTTTGGGATAAATGTTTTACATAAAAGCTGACCATTGTAGAACAGTCTGTTTTAAATGGTTTGTCTCATCTCTGTAACTTTTCCATTCTGCTGGAGAACAGAAAATAATCAAAACATCATTTCACTAGGCATGCTCACATTTTTGAGACCCATTGCTGAAATATAGTTCAGCTGTATGTTCTATTCAAACTGAAGGATCATAATTTGTTTTTAATGGACTGTTCTTTTCCCAATTTTGAAGAGACCCTGTCACCAGCTAACATAGCCCTCTCACTCTTTGCATGTCTTAAGGCGGCCATAGATGGATTGAAATTGGGTCGGTTCAGCAGGGACACGCTAAATTTCAATCCATCTATGCGCAGGCTGATTGTACAGAATTTCATCTCTCAATTGGTTTGTGTACTACCAGCCTGTTTGAAGGGTTTGGTTGATCAATGTCTCCAGCTAGAGCTGGCTGTACTGATAAGTGTTTTTGGACAGCGGGGAAGTCTCCCAGCTGTTAGAATACAAAAGCTACATGGAAGGGATTTGATTTCTGACCACTGATTGAACAAAAAAAAGGAATCTTGTATAACCAGCCTTAGAAAACGAATCCCTTGCATGCAGCTATTGTATTGACTGACCACGGATTGAAGAAAAGAACATGAATAGTGTATAGCCAGCCTTAGTCCCCTCTTCTCTGTGCTGGCCCAGCTCCTCCACCCCTCTGTTCACCTCTCTACTTAAATCTTTTATGTAGCTCCTGCAGGATTAACAAGGATTACTGTAGTGACCTCTGAGTCTGCTGCAAGATGGAGGCCAGCAGCAGTAGTCTTTTAGATGTCTACACAAGAGGCTTATTACCCTACACGTCTTGGATAATATTGAAATCTGAGATACTGAGGTTGATTTACTAAGAGTAGATCATGTTTACTTTGCAAAGTTAAATTTTGCTAGACTTGGCAAGTGTAGTAAAGTAAACTAAGTGAAAATTCACTTTGCAAAGAATTCCTAACACAAGGAATATTTAATCCTGTCCAAGCAAGATTACTGGATATTTGCTATACCTGATTGGATGATTGAAATCAGCAATGCTTCACTTCATTCACTTTTGCAAAGTAGATTTTTACTACTTTATTAAATTAAAACCCCCATGTCAGACCTTGAGATAAAATACTAGAAGTTTGAAATATATGTAAAATTCTACTGAGTAGTTGAGTGTTTAGACCTACTCTCTGGAAAATCAGGTCTTTCTCTCGCTGGAAAATCAGGTCTTTCTCTCCCTCTATCCCATAGGGCTCTGAAGTGAACTCCAAGTTGAGTGTTTTTATTATGGTCTTGGTTTAATTTAAATTATTCATTTTTAGGAAATGACAATGAATACTTCACTGCCATAATGTTGAAAAAATCCAGAGCTACTACACTAGTAAGCCAAGAAATTATAAGTTTCCCAACAACTTCCATGATGAGGAATTTACTGGTGGCGAATGTAAGTTGAACATGAACGGTAATGACCCAATATGCTATAACTGGAGCTTATACAGTATATTACACATTTCATATATGCAGCCTGTATATGGAGTGACTATATATGTACCCATGTGGTTTATATTGTCCTAGACCTGAAATTGTATCGGATTTGGATAAGCGGGACTACCAGTGACAGTATAAGAAATGCAACTGTTTAAATGTTTACTGCTCACCTGTTAGTCTAGTACAACATTTCACTGTTCTCCATCTGTATATGTATGTGTGCATGCATCTGTTTTGCCGGTCTGTATGTGCGAGTGTCTGTTGGTATGTATATACACTGTGTTTATGTATGTGCATGTACATTATGTGTAATATGGTGTGTGTATGCAAGTCTTTTGGGCATATTTATAAAATTGTGCATGACATGCAGGTGAATCTTCTGATGAATGCTTTGTTTGTGGGTTCTTTCATATTCCATCATTTTTGTACCTTTCATGAGCTCAGAGAAAGGACTTTATTTCAAAAAGGATCATCATAATTTTTAAATCCTTGAGGAATACTCCAGGGGAACAAGAGTAAGGAGTACATGTTCCCATTCTGATCATGCTATGGTTGCTGAGCTAACCTGGTTGACAGTACCCCTCAATGCTATTCAATCACGCTGCCTAGAGAACTTTTAGTAAGGTCTAAGTGACAACACAGAGGAGAGGGAGTTGTAGAAGGCAGTACACAGAGGTGAGGGCTAGCATCTGCAGCTTTACCATCTTCCAACTCTGGGCATCTTTCTTGTACACCTGAGGAAGGGAAATGAAGCCCAAACCCACCCACCTGCTTTTTTAGGGAGAGACTAGAGTACTAGATAGTGGTTTGCTTTGTAAATGACAGCGCTTGTCTTTCAGCAGGCATGTGCTGGAAATGAAGCACTGTCATTCACAAAACTAGGCACCAGTTATACTCTGCCTGGAAGATCCACACTGCCCTGGCCAGCACTGTGTGGAGTCTGCCTATGGATGCGACCACTGTCAGCACGGAGCTCTATAAAGCTCTATATGCTTGGTGTCCAGCCCCGATCCACTCCCACTCAGCACAGAGCTCTGTTTATAGAGACAAACGCTGTGCTGTTGCTTAGGTGTAAATGTAAGGAAACCTGTTTCAAAAAACATCACTATAAAGAGAATGGATGCTGGCTACAGTCTTGTGATGTAACTTCTCCAAAGGAATGCTCATAAATTGGCCTTCAGCCTAGGGTGGAGCTGACAGCCCACAGAAAGGCAAGCAGAGGACAAAGAACTAGTTGCCAGTATTGGCCTATAGGCTCCTTGCAGCTGATCTTTCCCCATTAGTGACTTATGCTTTGGTCTACACTGTGTTGTGGCCAGCTGTTCTATAGGAAATACTTTTAAATACTTTTTTATAGGTCATCAATTGGTTAACTGTGAATGATAGCCCTAGAATTATTGCTGTCACAACAATACTTAATGTGTTGGGGATTTGTTTTTTGTACGTGACACATGCATTTTCATTCCTAAAGTGTGTGTGTGTGTGCGTGTGTTTTAAGCAGGGCTTTTAAAAAGTGTGTGTGTTGTTTGTTTTTTTTTTATTCTTGCAAAAAGGGGTTGAGAGAGCCTCTGTGTAATAGCATAATGCAGGTGACGAGTTCTTTTTAAGGACACAGTAGGGGCCTTTTAAAGTGTTTTTAAACCCAGGACCCCGCAGTCACTATATCTGGTCTCCCACAGTACACACCATGGAAATGCAATTTTTGGTTATAAACTGCTAAATCCCTTTTCTCATCAGCAGATGGAGCAGTCTTGTGACTTCTATCAGTGTCCAGCCCAGCACATGTTAAAGTGGTAGTAAACTCAAGATTTCTACTTTCATCCCTTGAAATAGTTAATAATTTAATAGGTGTTGTCTTTGCTATCCGCCTTACCTGTGCTGTTCTGCAGAAATCATGTGATGTTCAATCTAATGATGTCACTGGCACATGCGCTTTATAGCCGCGATTCATGGCATGATCTCTGTGCTGGTTGTCCTTTCTGGAAAATGCTGTGCTTATGTCCTCTGCTGTCAGTGGCATTTTAGAACAATCCTGCCAGAGCACAACACCCCATGTGACTTGCTACATCACAATGGGGTGTAAACTTTGGCTCTGATTACAGGAAAAGCCGAGAGGAGAGAGGGGCATCACTGGCTGAGAGAGCATACTGTGCATTCGTGAGATTACCGCTGTCGTCATAGAGAGGGGAGTGGAAGCTGGATGCCAAACAAGAGTCCCAAGATGTAATCCTTCAGCCGAGATGGCAGTAAGGGAAAAAAACACTTATAATACAAGATTTTTCTGCAGATAATCTGGCAATGTGCATTATCACTTAACCTACTGTCCTTATGTTTGTTTCAATTCATGCTGGCTGAGTTTACCACCTCTTTAAAGCTTGTAGGGAGGAGTTTTGATTTTGCTCTAGGAGGATGCAGGACCCCTGACCTCTGTCTGGACAGTACAAATTGGCCCTGTGCTGATCACATGCACTCTCCCAAGAAAGGGGGGAAAAAAAGCAATACACCAAACTGAGCATGTGCAGAGTGACACCACACGATATGTCTTATTAGAGATAAGAGGGGGGCATTGGAAGAAGGGGAGGATCAGAGAAGTCAGTATAAAACCGTGTTTTTAACCCCTTAGGTTCCACAGAGAGGATAACGAGCATGCTTTACTGCATATACAGACTGATTTTACTGTTGTTGGTTTAGTAATCCTTTAAAAGATAAGTTCACCTTTGGGAACATGTTAACATGTTCCCATAGCCGCAGCTGCTGCCCCTGTCCGTCTGACATATAGTACAGGGGAAATGTTTCCCCGTACAATCTGTCAAATTTGAAAACCGCGTGGCCATGCTGGGCTCCGCCCACACAGCCACATCATTCATTCATTCATGGACTTCTGTGAATGAAATACAGGTCTCGACAGCCTTAGCAGCTGTGGGCTTGTAGTTTTCAATGAACTACCACAGCGCTGTGGAGCACCATGGTAGTTCATTGAAGCTTCCTGTCAAAATATCTGCTTGCTTGTACATCCCTTACGGCATCGGATGTTCTGAAAGGTCTGCAGGAGACCTGCATGGCATAAGCGATCTATGGATGCTTTCCATGCTCCTGTAGACAGAAATAAATGCACATTTGTTTATCTGCAAAAAAATGCATTTATTTTGTCTAAAAGGTGAACTTATCCTTTAAGACCACTAATGTCACCCCTGCATGCTGCTGAAGCTGACTGAGCACAGGATGTTTGTTTGTACAATAATTAAGCAACACAGATGAGATGTGCCTTTCCCTCTTGTAAATCTGTTCACATACCAAGAAGCAGAACCCTGACTGGCTTAAAATGCTGATTCTTCCACTTTTACTGTACAGGGCATTAGTGGGCTGATATAAAAAAACCCAATTCAGACAGATGTATGAGGCAGTTATGTTATTGTAGTGTATTAAAATCCAAGACTTTAAATTCTGGTCAAAGTAAGGAATCCCAAACTGCTTCTTGCCATCTATGTCCTGTTTTGATGACATTACCTTTGACTTTCAGTTTAGTAGACTCAACCAGAAGTGAGAATCTCTTCAAAATTGGAGGAAATCCCTTCTTGCACATTTGTTTCAAACAAGCATCCCTATCAGATTACTCCACTATTCTTGTTCTGGTAACTTAAAATTTGAATTTTGTTATCCCTTTTAGTTCTGTTTACAGTGGATATTGGGACAAATAAAGAAGTTAAATCTCTCCATAAGAGAGCAATTCCTTCACCGTATCCAAAACTAACAAGTTTCACTTTAGATGCAGTTTAAATGTGTTTTTCTACATAGTTTTGGCATAACTGAACTATGCTGAAGTTTAAAGTGGCAGTAAACCGTCATGAAATCTGATATATTGCAGCATACTGCAGGGACTTTCCATGTATACAATCTGGTTTCTCTCTTTAGGCTACTACTTTATTGTATTCCTCTTCTGCATTTCCATGTCTGGAGGGTGGTTGCACAGCTTTCCAGGGTCTCATGAAGCAACCCTTGCATGCGCACTCCACTCTGAGGGATGTACTTGTTGCTCTGCTTATGTGGATAGGGGTGGTCATGTGACAGTTTATGATGTGTCTGGGTGTACATGTGTTAATTTTAAGGCAAAGCAACTGACTGTACACATCATGGGCCTGGAGTGGGGGTGCACATATTCTGTGTGCTCAGGGGCCTGAGTGACGATGTGGTCATGTGACCTCTGCAGTGCATGCTGCCCATCCTCCTCCCCCCTTTAATTTTGGACAGAAGTTCAATGGTGGGAACATTTATGATTTAAGGAGTGCCTGCAAAAGTAAGATACATTCTGCAAAAATTGTGCATGCTTTAGGTTGCCGTTGTGTAAGCAAACACTTTAAAATAAATAAAAAAAATCAATCATCTTCTAGGTGGATGCAGCATTGATCTGATGCTGCATCTGTCCCCCGCCAGCTCCACTCCAGGAACTGAGCAATCAAAGATCACTGATCACAGTTCTCGGGTCCACTCTGAGCACAGAGCAGTGACTGTAGGTCACCGGGTCTGTGCTGTGCCCCACCAGCGCTCACTGGAATACTGGGCTGTGGAGGGTGCAGGAGTGGCTGGCTCAAGCTCTCGGCAGCAAGTGATCAGCACAAGGCCAAGCAGCACTATCCAGACAGAGGGTCTGGGGTCATATAGCCTCATAGGACAGTCAGAGCAGAATGAAAACTCCTCCTATAAGCTTTAACCAGTGCTTGGCAAGACTTCTATATACTGCTGATGAGAAAAGGTATTTAGCAGTTTATATTTACTAAAATAATTGCATTTCCATGTCCTGTGTACTGTGGGAGACCAGATATAACGAATGCAGGGTCATGGGTTTAGTAACACTTTAACTACACAACAGACGGTTATCGGTATTTGTTTAAACTTGTTCCTGCTTCTCCTCCTGAATGTACACTGAAGATGCTTACTGCTCCCTTCTAGGTTAAACTTTGTGGCAGTGACATCTGCCTCATGACTTCCCACTTAGAGAGCACCAAAGACCATGGAAAGGAACGGATGAAGCAGCTGGGCATTGTACTACAGAAGATGTTGGAGGTTCCGCCATCAACCACAGTGATATTTGGTGGAGATACTAACTTAAGAGACAAAGAGGTCTGTAGAATACATAATCCTGTTGCCTATTTTATCGCTTTGTCTAATTGAATGAGTGACTTAATACATTACAAGTTGCCTGTACACTGCCTATGGAACAGAGCAATTTTCACATTTCACTATGGGCCAGTTGATTACTTAATAGCTTCATCATTTCTTAGGATAGCAAAGAAATGTTTTGGACAAATGAGGTTTTTTTGGAATCCATTAACAAAATAACTAAAAGCCCTCTTTTAAATTTTGAAACCTTGTTGGCTTAACTAGTTGACAAGACTGGGTGTGCTACACATGCCCAAAAAGTCAAGCGCACTGGGCTTGGGGAGTATGGCCAGTCTTCTGACCTTGATCTGCGGATGTCAGTTAACTAGTTGCCGACCGCAGATAGCCGAATGACGGCTGCACTGCGGCCGGCCAGTTCTGAGTGGACGTCATATGACGTCCTCCCAGAATGCGCTCTCCTGCGCGCCCCAGGGGGCGCGCACCCGGCAATCTCCGTGATCGCTGTGTCCTACGGACACAGCTGATCACGTGATGTGGTAAAAGGCCAATCACAGCGCCCTTTTACCACGTGATCAGCGGTGTCCAATGACACGCTGATCAGAGGGAAATGCAAGTGCCGGTTCTCGGCTGCACTTTCCTCACGCTGTCAGATCGTGAGGAAAGTACTGCCGAGAACCGGCAGTTGTCAGAGCGGGGATCGGCACCGATCATCAGGGCACTGATGATCAGTGCCCTGATGATCTGTGCCCAGCAGTGCCACCCGCAGGTTCTGCCCACCTGTGCCCAGCAGTGCGCCCACTAGCTCCGCCCACCTGTGCCCAGCAGTGCACCCACCTGTGCCACTCTGCAGTGTCACACACCTGTGCCCACCAGTGCCGCCCACCAGTGCAGCCCAGCAGTGCTGCCAGTCAGTGCCCAGCAGTGATGCCATCCGTGCCGTCTATCAGTACCCATCATCAGTGTCACCTATCAGTGCCGCCTATCAGTGCTGCATATTTGTGCCGCCTGTCCGTGACACCTCATTAGTGCTGCCTATCCGTGCCCATCAGTGCTGCCTCATCAACGCACATCAGTGAAGGAGAAAAAATACCTGTTTGAAAAATTTTATAATAGAAACAAAGAAACTTTTTTTTTTTTTTCAAATTTTTTGCAATTTTTTATTTATAGCGCAAAAAGTAAAGTGCCCAGTGGCGATTAAATACCACCAAAAGAAAGCTCTATTTGTGAGAAAAAAATGATCAAAATTTCATATGGATACAATGTTGCATGACCGCGCAATTGTCAATCAAAGTGCGGCAGTGCTGAAAGCTGAAAATTGGCCTGGTAAATAAGGGGGTATAAGTGCCTGGTAGGCAAGTGGTTAAAGCAACCGGACAAGTGAAATGTTTGCGTCTTCTTCCCCCATCTCTCCAACGATTTTCCTGCTAGGGTCTGATATAATATGAACAAAGCATATCCCTCTATAGTGTGTGTGTGTGTGTTGTCTGAATCCAGAGCACTAAGTGTAATTTTTGTCTGCTGCCTCATTTCTCTATCTGCATGAGTTTCTTCTGATGAGTTTTCCTCACACCAGGAGAAAAATGGTGACAGGGGAGGGCACAGCCTGTGATTGACAGCCTTAGCTCTGTTCCTGTGTGCTGTGTGAAGGAGGGGGGTGTCTCCTCCCTCCAGTCAGCTATCAGGGCTCTTCTCAGTGATGTGATGTAATGACAGCTCCTCTCCCCCTGCTTTGCAAAGCTGAGAGATTCTGTGTAAATTCTGCACTTTGGATGTAGGAGACAGACCGATAATAAATAGATCTATCAGGTACAATTTATGTAGGAGGATTTATTTCACCTGTCCTCTGTATCACCTGATAACTTTAACCCCTTCACGCCTAAGAGTAAAACAAATCCTAATACCGAAGCACAATTTTGCAACTTTGACATGTTCGTAAAACCATACATATCATCACAACTACTTTGTACATCCAAGTGAATTATACCTTGTTTTTTTTTGGGGGGGGGGGGGGGTTTCAGGACAAATTGGGCTTTCATTTGGTGGTTAATGGCAGTGAATATCTCCTGATTTATAATACTTTTTTTTTTTTTTTTAAATTTTTTCAAATTTAGCTGTATTTCTTGTTACTACCATAACCTACCACCAGAAAACAACCCAAAATAAATTCTCCACCTGCTTCTGATGATCACAGCGATACCACATGTGGTGTTTATTTGTACCCGTAGTACGGCCCAGAAACAATGGTTCGCATTTTGGTTTTTTTTCTTTGTCCTACCTAAAACACACGGACACTAACTGACACTGATACTATTTAAAAAAGAAAAGAGAAATCCTGCCAAAATATATTGACCCTTACTTTACCTAAACACTGACTCTAGCACTGACCTAGATCAAACCTTGATCTAGGTGGGGGTTTTTTTTTGTATTTTTATTTAATTTTTTCTTTTATTTTTTAAATTTCTTTATTTTACACCTTTTTTTTTTTTTTTTTAATCTCTGAAAGGAGAGATGCAATGTATCTCTCTCCTCCATTCAGAGAGAACACAAAGGCAGGCTTCAGTGACTGGTCACTGTGATAGCCAGTCAGAGGCTCACAGCGATTAGGTGACCTGGAATCGGGACCCGGGGCTCACGGTGAGACCCCAGTCTGTCTCTGTCCCAGCACAAAGGGATGTATGCAAATATATGGCCCCACAGCATAAAGCCCAGTGCAGCGAGGCCGCATATTTGTGTGAAGGGGTTAAAATGCTCTGCATCAGAACAGCTTGTTTTGCATGTCTATTTTAATTACTTGCAGGATGGCGGCATGGTTCTTTTTGATGAAAATAGGCCGTATAGAAGTGTTATTCCTAAACCTGATAAGGATGCTGCTGATCTTAATTATTACCCTATCTCACTTATTAACTGCGATTTGAAAATTCTTACTAAATGTTTAGCCTTGTGTCTTAATACCTTTTTTGGAACATTATATTCACAAGGATCAATCTGGTTTTATCCATGGGTTGTCAGATATTGGACCAAATTAGGCACTCTATTGCTATAGTTTCAGCAGTAGGCTGTAATTGAGAATTCTTCTAGAGAACTCCTGCTTCTTTCATTAGATCTCCACAAGGCTCTTGACAGGCTAAACTGGGATTACCTGTTTACCACATTGGAGGCCTTTGGATTTGGTCCCACGTTTATTTCTTAAATTCTATAGTGCCTCTTCCGCTTAGGTCTTTGAGGTTATAAGTTATCAGTGATTCCTATTCAACATGGTACAAGATAGGGCTGTCCACTTTCTCCTTTGCTGTTTGCGTTGGCAATCAAACCTTTGGAGATTGCAATTCATTCTAATTTTGGCATACATGGCTTTAATTGTGATCAATTAAATGTGCTTTATTTGATGACATGCTTATGTATATCTCTAATCTGCAAGTTAACCTGCCAAACTTACACTCGTTGCTGTGACATTTTATCTCAATTCTCTGGACTATCTCTGAATTCCGAAATAACAATGGCCCTAAATGTTCCCTCACCCTCCCTGACTTTGCAAGACCTCCTTCCAATGGGAAAGGAGTTCCCCTTCTTACTTAGGGATTCAACTAACATCCTCGATCGTGTACCTTTTTTTTTTTTTTTTTTTTTTTTTTTTTTTTTTTTAAAGCCAATTATCCCCCACTCTGTGTCTCCTCGGCGTTGGGTGACTTATTCCTTGCCCTGCTTTGGTAGAATGAATTCTATAAAAATGTCTTTTACTTAGGATCTTTTATTTCCAAACACTGCCCATAGCATTTCTGAGAGGAGACTTATTGCAAACTGAAGCGTTTTGGTTTATATGGGGTAATATTATGCTTCAAAACCTAGCGGTGGCCTTGGTCTCCCACATTTACAGGCACACTTACCAGGCATCTCAAATCACTCAGCTCTTACACTACAGCTAAGGGTCCCATGCCTTTTTTATGGGTTTCTGTCAAAGCTTTCTTGACATCCTATTGCAAGTGGAGCCTTGATGTGGATCCCTAGCTGTTTGCAACCTCCTATACTATACCCTACTTTGTCCCACTCTTTGGAAGTTTGAAATAGAATAGGGTATCTCTCCCCCTCCCCGTAAGCCCCAGTTTTTTGCAACCCAGAGTTTGTCCCAGGACTAGTACCTACTTTGATCCAGTGTTGGCTTAACAAGGACCTTCTGTGGATCAGGGACTACCTGAACGGCGACCAACCACACTCATTGCAATATTTTGTAGATAAGTTACAGCTGCCCTGTAGTGAAGCATTTCAATATTTATTAACTTGGATCCTTCCTACCTTCTAAGCTCGCCCTACTGAATGGACCACTCACTCTCACCCTGTTTTGAATTGTTTTGACAAAGGGCCTCTTACAGGGACGGATTTCTGTGATATGTTTCCCTCGCTGACCTGACTATCAAACTTTCATATATGATCCATTGGGAAAGGGACCTGAATTTTACTTGGGAATTGCTTGACTGGCAGAGATTAGATTTTGATCTAAATGTTTAACTTTATTCAGTATCCTGAGTGAATTTTCGCAGATGCCTGGAGGCATCCCTCTTCCATAAGCACCTTGATGAGATCCAAAAGAAATCCGTGCAACTTATTACCTATATGTACCTGGCAGCATGAATTACTATAGCTAAGCATTGGCAGCGATTGGTTGTACTGTTTGATGTGGAACAAAACCTTAATTGGACTATGGTCAATAACTAATTCATTTGTATTCTCCATAACACTAAAATTTGACAGAACGTGGGACCCATGGATTCGGTACTTGTTAGCTCATTAACTTGTTCCTGGATTACCGCTTCTTCCTTCTTTTTTTTTTTTTTTGTCTTTTTCTTTACCTCTTATCTTGATGACGATTGCAGGACTGTAATAGTCTCAGGTATGGACACGCAATTTATTTCAAAATTCCAAACCCTTTGTCCCCCTCCTCTCCTGCCATTGATCTCCCTTTCTCTGGTATAATTATCCTAACTGCTTTGGTGGTTTTTTTACTCCACTACTACTAGTTAAGTTAGAATAAATTGACTATACCTGCCTCCCTAGGTGGTTGTTGTTAATTATATACTTCCTTGTTTGATCGACCTGTATTTACCTGGATAAACGATTTTTCCTATTTGGGCATATTCTTATGTTATGTTGGTGATAACCTGAAACTTTGATTTTGTTGTCAACATTTACATTTTTTGTACCAGAATCATAATCTTTTATATATATATATATATATATATATATATATTTTTATATATATAATTTTTTTTTTTTTTTTTTTTCCTTAACAGGACAAATTATTCACAGTAATACTTTACGTTTACGAACACTGGTCAAAGAAAATAGTGTTTTTTTTTTTTTTTTTGTTTAAGGATTGCATAATTGTTTGCACGAAAAGGCTTTGTTGGTCCTTAGTGTTACTAAACCCCACAACAGTAAAAATCAGTCTGTATATGCAGTAAAAGCTTGTTTGTTGCTCACTGTGGAACCGAAGGGGTTAATGCTCTGCATTGTGTAAGAACTCAGTTTGATCCTGACTTCTCTGATCCACCTTCTTCCAGTGTCCCTCTCATCTCCTAATAAGACATATTGTGTGGAGATGCTGCACATGCTCAGTTTGGTGTATATTGCTAGAGGTTTTTTTCTTGGGAGAGTGCATCTGATCAGCACAGGGCCAATCTGCACTGCCCAGACAGAGGTTCTGCATCCTTTTAGAGAACTCCTACCAGATTTAACATGTGCTTTGCTGAACACTGATATAAGTCCCAAGCCTGCTCTAACTGCTGATGAGAAAAGGTATTTAGCAGTTTATATTTACTAAAATAATTGAATTTCCATGTTCTGTGTACTGTGGGAGACCAGATATAGTGAATGCAGGGTCCTGGGTTTAGTAACACTTTAAACATGTGTTACTTTGTTAAATTAAGGCAAACTTACTGACAAGTCCATAGCAGAAATGAGAAAATTTGCTCTGCTTCTTAGGGGGTGTACAGGTGAGAGCTGAAGTAGTTACTGTAGAGAAGTATGAAAATTATGATTGCTAAGCATTGCAAAGTTATTTATAAATGAAAAGCTTAACATTTTATGAACAAAAGCATAGAAAACAAGTTTTAATAATGGTTGGAAAAAAACATCTGAAAAAAAGTGAAGGGCTTTCTTTTGGTGGAATTTGAACACAACTGGGTTTGTGTGACAGTGTCTACAAACTATATGTGTGTGTGTACTGGAATTTTTGCAGCTATGATGCTATACTGGTAATCAGCAGCAGTCTGGTACTAACAGACCCTTGCTAGCAGGTACACTGATGTTGACATCAATAGTGACACTAATATAGTGGTCAGATATAAAGCTGTACACTGCACTGGCTGGGAAGGGGTTAACAAGGGGCAATCAAAGGGTTAACTGTGTTCTAGCACATTTAATGTGTGTAATATATGTTGGTTTTACTTACAGAGCTGGCTGTGTTTTTTTTTTTTTTTTTTGGGGGGGGGGGGGGGGGGGGGGTTTGGTTTTTTCCTCCCTGCAAAGCAGCAGAAATGGCCAGACCGCTGATCTGTGTATAGAGCCCTGTGTATTTGTTGGCTACAGCTGGTCAGCCGGTCTCAGCCATAAATCATTGGTTAGGACATGCTGACAAAATCTTGCTTTTGCTAGTGACAGCAGGGGTTAGCAACAGACGGAATAGGCTGGATGACATACATGTACGTGATGCAGCCTGCTTGTTCTGCCCGCAGTAAATGTACTGTGGGCAGGAAGCTGTTAAAGCTAAACTCCAGATAAACAGTAGATATAAAAATATAGGAGATGTTTTACATGAAAGGATATATATTTTTGTCCAGCCAGTTCTCAGAACTGCTAAGGAAAACCACCAAAAATAAACTACCCATTCTCAGTGCTATTGCCAGGACAAGACTAGCTGACCTAAGTGGGGATAAACAACCAGCCTCAATAGCATACTGTAATTTGGCAATTTAGTTGTGCATATAAAAAAAATCCAGAATATACAAACATGAAGTTAAAAATAGATCTCATTTAGCTGTAACTAATGGCAACATAGGTAGTCCCATTCACTATAAAAAAAAAAACAATACTATCTGGCACCCAATGCAGCAAGGTGGTGAGAACTGGGGGCTCCAGGTACATGCAAAGACAAAAGCAGAAAAAAAAATGCAAAGGGGGCCAGTAGTGTAGTAAATAGGAAGGTTTATTAGAATGCTTTAAAATGGTACCCATAAATATTTGGAACATAAGTGGTGTACAGAACAGCTAGTCTCTAACAGACTCCAGTGCCTGGTAAACAATGCAGCCCTCCTCCCTGTCAGTGATCGCCGGTAATCACCAGCCTGTACTCCTGTGATTGCCACCCAGGGTTGCCGATCGGCAGCACAGATAGGGCAGTTGCGCGCCTTGCACGCCCCCTACCCGGAAATGCAGAATCATGTATACACATGATTTTGCGCACAGTGCGCACCCTGCAGCCGTAAATGTACTGTGGGCGGGCCTTAAGTGGTTAGTCGGGATCCATCCAGATTCTTGACTTGTAGCTGGCTAAACCTCTGCTGAGAGCCTTTTCCAGCTGCTCCCACCCCTCCACAGCCCAGCACTTCAGTGAGCTCTGTGGGTACAGAGCAGAGAGGCAGTGATGCTCACTGGAGACTGAAAACCAAGTGGCTTTTCAGAGTCGGTTAAATCTCTTTTGGCCCATTTTGCCTGAGGAAAAGAAGCTGCCTAATGATTATGCACACCTTGATATAGGGTGTTGATCTCCCTAGGCCACACCCTCCCTCATTACACAAATACACATCACCAGATATGCTTAAATCCTATAGGCATTAAAGGAAGAAAAATTCTGTATAGGTATTTGTTTCTGCTATAAAGAGAAATACATATTGGTATAGAGATATTTAGACAGTTATATTTATCTTATGTTCTTATAGCAGTAGGAATCGTATTGGCCATCAATTACTGCAAAACATTTGTAAAGGTATTGCTGAAACTCCAAACTTTCCAAATAGCAATTAAGAACTCCAGACAAAATATTGGATTTAAAAGGGAAACATTTTTAGATGTTTGTCTGGCCATATTGTTAAGTTTTTTTTTTTTTTTTTTTTTTTTTTTACTTCCCGTACCTCAATCCTGACCTGGAACAGGAAGGCAAGAAATCTCAATGGGGATACAGCAATAAAAATGACAAAGGTTCTAAACTTGTTGAACTCTAAGGGGCAAACAAAAATGGATGGTATCTTCCTCATTAAGACACTTTACACTGACAAACAAGTCATATTCTATGACCATTTTGTATTTGTTTCATTGACAGGTTGAAAAGATAGGTGGCCTTCCCAGTCCCATCTTGGACATCTGGGAATTTCTGGGGAAGCCAGAACACTGCCGTTATACATGGGACACAAAAATGAACAACAACCTAAAGGCTTCATACACCTGCAGGCTGCGCTTTGACCGAATACTGTACCGCTCTGCTTTAGATGGCGTCCAAGTAATTCCTCACGCCTTGGAATTGATTGGCACTGAAAAACTTGATTGTGGTAGATTCCCTAGTGACCACTGGGGATTACTGTGTGATTTTGATGTGATTTTATGAGCTGTCAATCTTATAATTTGCAAATATTAAACTTTTTTTTTATATATATATAAGAATTATGCACCATAATGAGGGCAGAAAAGATGTCTAGAAATAGTTTTTACTTGCTAGCCATCAAGCAAATGTTTGGTTTTTTTTTTTTTTTTTTTTCCTTTTTTTTTTTTTTTTTTTTTTTTTTTTTTCAACAAAAGAATATTCAGATAGATGTATGTTTAATAACTAGGGAGTAGATGTCTACCTGTAGCTGCCTGTGTCCATGCTTAAAGTGAATCTTTGAGCCATTTTTAATTTCTAAAAAGTCTTTCATAGAAGCAGGTAGTGCCTGCTATGGTCCTTATTGTTCAAAACAGCCTGTTTGCACCCCTCAGATCTGAGGTTACTTCATTTAACAGGGTGCTTTTGACTCCCTGAAGTTAGCGTTAACCCCCTGACTCCACCATACTCGCATGCTGCCCAGTGATAGACCCTCAAAGGACAGATGGATAGTGATTCTTAGATTAGAAGTCTAAACCCAAATAAAAAGTGAAACCAAGATCAAACGATGCACAGACTTGGCTTTTTTTCTGTTTTTAATATGTTTCTCAGAGTAAACCTAACAAGCTCATGATTTTCCCTTTCAGGGGCAGAGCAAAACAGTCACATATAACAACTATTACCAGTAGGCAATGTAAACGTAGGTTTAATCAGCAGAATTCTGACCATATCCAAGGTAGACCAGTGCCAAGGTCAAAGCCAACATAGCTATTATTGCCAAACTCCTCTACGAAGTGGCCATCCCTGCTGACAAGTATCAGCCAAGACAAAGGCGAAGAATGCAGACTGAAAAAGGAATATATGTAGGAAGGAGAGAGGAACAAGAGAAAAGCAAGAGAGTATCACAGACCCAGGAGCAGTGTGGGGGACAACTATAAGTAGCCATAACTGGTTGATGGTAGGGATGGAAAAGCATAGCTTATCCAGGGTTTCCAAACTTAATGAACTTTGGGTGTGAATCCTTAAGAGCTCTAGACATATGCTTGTTGGCCATCATGGCAGTCATCTGGGTTTTCACACCCTGAAAGACAACCGAGGGAATTTTCCAAGCTTGAGCTATAGTGTGTTTGGCAGAGATAAAAAGATAGGAAGCCAGTTTCTGTTGGCGTGAAAAGGCTGCAATAGGGCAACGCAGAAGGGCCAATCTGGCATCCTAGTGTACCATCACATGAAACAAAATCTGCAGCAGCCCCAAAGACCTTGGACCAAAAGCCTATCAGCCGTGAGCATGACCATCCAATGTGCAGGACGTCCCCATGCTGACTGCAATTCCTGAAACCCCTGTTGCTGGTGCCTGTATATGCACGAGCAATCCGAGCCAGGACCCAGTACCACTGCAGGAGAACTTTATAGCCAGACTCCAGGGTAGAGGTGTTGAATGAGCATTTTGCCACCATCTTCCAAGCCTTGCTCCAGTCCTCTCCCTCAATAGGTGACCCAAGATCTTGCTCCCATTGTGCCAAGAATTGGCTTTTTTAACCTGTAGTGTTAACTACAGGTACTCTGTGGTGCTTGCTGTCTGGTGGGATTTTTGTTATACAAAGTTTGAAATGGTTAATAATCTTATTTCATGGCCCTCACATTTCACAGCAAACCACTGCTGTTAGAATGAGGAATATATGTGTGTAGTGGGTAACCCACCGGCACTGCTTGGTGATCACTTTAGGAATGCTCTTATTTTTTATCTACCAAAGGTCAGATTGAGGTTGATTTACTAAAGGTAAATATACTATACCTGAAGTGCAGTTGCATTAGATTGGAGGGGAAGCTCTGAAATGAGACGAAGCTTTGCTGATTTCTTTCATCCAATCATGTGCAAGCAAAAACGCTGTTTCTTTCTTTTTCTTCCATATTCTCCTCAGATCTAAAGTAACTGCACTATTTGCCAGGTTTTACCTGACTGTATATGCATTAAATGGTTCTTTAGGTATGCCCTAATAATTTAATTGTTTTAAAATTCACTGTGTTTTTTGCATTTTAATGATGAACTCAAAGGGTGTGGCTGCAGTTTGTGGTGTTATGGTGGACAGCTTCCACAAACAGAGTAACTGGTGTTTCTCCCACTGTGTGGCGTCAGAAGTGAGAAGGATTTCATCACTTCTGCTTCATTTGTTTACAAGCCATTGCTGGCTTGTGTAGCACCAGATAAAACTAAGATCTGTTTGATCTGTTGCTTTTGGAGGCCAGAGGAGAGATCTGGGGAGACCCCAGATCTCATAGGTACCTGTCATGCCCTGCTAGTTCTTTGTTCATCACTTGCAAAAAAGTGATAAAGGTATGCCCCAGTTCTCATAAATATACATCATCACAAACATAAGCGATTGTACCACACATGTGATGTATTACTGCGGGCGTGAGAGCAGGAACAATAATTCTAGCACTAGATCTAATATGCAAATCTGCTGTGGTAACTTGTAAAGGCTTTAAAAGCATTGGCTTTGGCTAATTTAATGAAACCTAGTTTGTTGCCATTCCACAATCAGCAGCAATTCTAAAGCATGATATGTTTGTTCTCTATTTACTGGAAGGGGGGGGGGGGGGCAGTGTGATGGGGAGAGGGGGTGTTGGGGCAGCAGTGTGATAGTAGGACACTTTGACGCACACTTTACTCACCTTGGTGCTGGGCACTGTCTATTTTTCCAGACTCAGAAATACATTGGCATTTGCAGGCTACCACTCGTGAACAGCCTTGGGGCAAGAAGCTGGATGTGGGAGGTGGAGACAGCGGTCCTAGCAACTGATGATTGCTTGTAGCTTGTTGCATCGTGGATCTTGACTGCCAGAAGCACCTAGTACCAGGCTGGATAGGAGGGGGCAGCATATAGAGCATCCTATTCCCTCAATGTTTCCCTCCTGCAGCCACTGAATACGAGAGGGAGAGGAGAAGATGCTCACTTTCAATGGCTGCAGGATCTGTTCCTCTACATACCCCCCCCCCCCATCCAAGTGTAGACAAATATGACATGGGGAGCTATATGGACACCCTGAAGCACTAGGCTGGGTTGCAGTTGCATCCCTTATAGTTATGACTCTGTAAACAGGTACCCTATGCCAGGTGTGCAACAAACATAGGCACGAGAATATTAGACCCAACAGCTGATGAGACCTAAACCCTGACTGATACTGAAGACTAGCTGGGCAGGTGGGCAGTGGGCACAAAACCATTGGAGGCAGGCTGGGCATCAGGCAGAGGATCAATGGAATTTGTGTGGACAGTAAGCATGGGATCAGCTGCATCAGGCTGGATATGAGTAGCAGGCCGAAGCTCAACAAGGTCAGACTGAAAGGGTGGAACATGGGCTTGTTGCATAATGGCTTTAGGAAATGGTTGAGGACCCCACTTGGCTGAATGAATCAGTTTGTCCCAAGGATGGATAGAATGTCTAAGACAGGCTTGAGCCAATGTAATTGTGGTAGGGTGAGACCTGGATACTGAGAATCCAAAAATGAAAAGACGGAGCTGCGGATGAGTCAGGAGTAAACTAGCCCATAGTTGAGACCGTTACAGGCAGGTCTAGAGCAGAAGGCTTGATTAACATGGGCTGGACCGGAGCAACTGTTGTGGTGGCAGGCTTGACCAGAGCAACTGGCGTGCGGGCAGGCTGGACCAGAGCAACTGTCTTGGTAGGAGACTGGAGCAACTGGAGCAACTGGCACAATGGCGTATCATCCATGGTTGCAACATGTTAACTGCACATGGGCCCCGAGGGGGTCACTGGTCCCGACACACACTGCACTCATGGATGCCAAGATGGGGGGGGGGGGGGGGGGGGGGGGGGGGGGGGTAACATGCAACTTCAACTGTGTAGAGGGATCCTCTGCACACCTTACCAATAGCAACAGCACAGCAAGCAGAGGGGAGGCTGGTCCCAGAGAGAAGGTAGGAGCAGAGCACGCCATCAAATATGAGAATTGCTCCTTGTTTGAGCAGCAGGGACCCCACCCCGTGCAGGGGAATTGCTGGTGATACACATACACACAGAGTGCCTGTCCTGCTACCTAGATGGAGCAGGGGTTAGACGGGCAGCAGGGAGGAGGAGGGGTGAGCTAAGGCATCAGAGGTGAGCAGGGGCACAGGGTGCAATAAGTATTTTTTGAAGAGGCAGGATGTCTTCGGTGGCTAATCTCTCTTTGGCACATCATGTCTCAGTTAGACTGGGAGCCTCATGATCAGCAGAAGGAGTGCAGCAGCTGTGAGACCTGGACACCTGCCTGAAACCCTCCACCCCCTGACCCCTGTCATCCTGGCGGTGACCCCGCACCCCCAGCTTATGAACACCTCTTTGCGCCCCCCCCCCCCCTAACTGGGACTGCGCAAGCCCCACCACCTGCCACTACCTGATGTTGGAGAGGTTCTTCTCGGTCCTGTGACACTGTGATACCTCCTGGGATGTTGCTCCCCTCCTGTAACACTGCTCCCCTCCTGTCCCTCTCCCCATCTCCTGTTACGCTGCCCCCAACCTGTCCCTCTGCTCCCGTTTTCATCCTGGCAGTGCAGAGGCTGGTCAGGGTGCTGGAGGTGACGTCTGTACCAGGAATGAAGGAGAATACGTTGAGTGTAATAATGGGGATGATCTCTCTGTTTGCACACATTACAATCTGAACAGGGACACATGACCACTCTGTCCATCTCTCAGCCGCACACAACCTTTCTTCCATGTGCCTTGATTGGCTCCTGGAGCCCATATACACCTGGATACATCATACCTTTATGGGAAATCACACATACGCTATATTGCCAAAAGTGTTGGGACGCCTGCCTTTACACACACATGACCTTTAGTGGCATCCCAGTCTTAGTCCATAGGATTCAATATTGAGTTGGCCCACCCTTTACGGCTATAACAGCTTCAATTCTTCTGGGAAGGCTGTCCACAAGGTTTAGGAGTGTGTCTAGGACAGGGGTCTGCAACCTTTAAGACATAAAAAGCCACTTGGACCCGTTTCCGAAGGGAAAAAAAAAAGAC